AGTCTGATGAAAAATTGCTGAAGGAGGTGCAAACCTATAAAGAAAAAACAGAAGATTCTCGAAGAAAAAAATCAAGAAATGGAGGTGAAAATGAAAACTCTGGAGGTTAAAATCAAAAATATATTAATAAGAGAAAGAAAAAATAACATATTTCTCTATAACATTGAGGACTTACCAGCGATAAACCAGAACCTATTAATCTCAGTCTTAAAAATCCTCAATAATTGTAAAATTGAGATTAAAGAGGAACAAATGAGGCATTTCACGTCAGAAATCTCGGAATACCATACTTTAATATCTCCAGAACTAGTTGAGTCTCCATCAATTTTTTTTATGAAATTAAAGGTGAATTCATAAGGAATCCAAATATATTAATAACATTTTTCTCCGAGATATTCAAAATTTTATAAAATTAATATTAAAATTCAAAATGGGGTATCTTCAACAATTTTGATTTTTTTTTTAATTTGGGGAAAAAAGTCTCTTATATAGAACTATAATCCCACGAAGTTTTGCGAAAATCGGCATACCCTTTGCAAATCGTGATATTTCTGACGTGAAATGCCTCAAATAGATAAAATATCAAGAGTTGGAAAACAAGAAGGTAAAAGACCGGTGTTAATTACCTTCAAAAACTCATTACCTAAATCTATTATTTTCCAGACTGCTCAAAACTTACAAGAAAATATTTATTTCTCTAACGACTACACTCCTGATCAACAACAAACCAGGAAAGAACTTATTAAAGTCAAACACTTTCTTAAAGAGAATGGGAAAACTGCCGTTATTAAAGGAACGAAACTCATCTTAGACGGAATTATATATGATCTTAATGAAATTCAAAAATTAAGTCATGAGGATCGTCAGAAAGAAGATGATGATTCAGATGGAGAAACCTCCCCATTAACGTCGGTTATTTCATCTGCAAGCACTAAAAGGAAGAGTGGACAACCTAAAAAGGATAAAAACAAAAAAGAAGTTGCAAGAAACAACAAAATTAAACACAAGGAAAGTACTATAAAAACTTTTCTTCAACGAAAAGAAGGATCTAGCGAATCTAAGCTCAACTCAAAAATTTAAAAAAAAGCTATAATTTCCCCGCGTCTAATATTTTAGAATTCAAGAAGAATGAGTAACTTAGAAGACATCTTGGAGGACTTCAATGAAGAGGACATCGTGTGTATCAGTGAAACGTGGCTCACAACAATCCCTAATGTTCCTGTTCCCCTCAAAAACTTTGACTTTCAAGTATTCCACATCAAGGCGATAAAAGAATTCAAGAGAGGGAGAGCGAGAGGGGCCTATACTCATCTTTGCGAATGCCTATAAGTATACCATAAGTCAAATATGCATAGATGAAACTTTTATTTGTGTAGGGGAGAGTGGGGGAAAATGGGGTACCTTTTTGAAATTGGCTGTTTACAGAGAACCAAACGAATAAATCGATTCAGCTAAACTTCAGAATTCTTCTTTGTACACTTAGCTTTGAGGAAATTATGATAACAGCGGAGAAAAAAATTTTTGAAAGAACTTATATCGTATTTTCTGAGAAAGTGCTAACATCCCATTTTGCCCCACCCGTGGGGCAAAATGGGGTGGCATGAAATAACTATACAAAACATTGAGTATTTTTTTAAAATTCATTAAATTCTTGTTGTATGAGATTATAAATACAAACAAAAAGTAGGATTCTTTATTACTATGAAAAAACAAGTAATATTTATTGGAATTTAACAAAAAAACATCCATATTGCAATATATCGATATATCGATAATGAAACATCGATAGTATAAATTTCCAAACAAAAATATTGATTCTTCTGCAGGAAACCTTTAAATATGGATAATATAATGTTTTTAAATAGTTTTAATGAAGCGGCGTAGCTTCCGGCATGCCCCACACTTAGGTCCCCCATTCTGCCCCACACTGCATATTAAAACAAAATGCAATGTTTACAAGTTATTGTAAACAATTAAACAATCTATTCTATTGGAAATTACTCTAGAATAAGTACTGAAAAAGATACCACACTTGCCAAATTAAATGCATTATCCCAAAAAGTTTGGTGATCACTTTAATTTTGAAACAACATGAATGATATATGTCGAGGATAAAAAAATTAAAAGTACCTATCATGGAAAAACAGAGGTACCCCATTTGACCCGCCTACCCCATTTTGCCCCACTCTCCCCTACAGCTTGAAAGTCGATTTCTTAAGGTAATTGTGTGCTCAGTCTATCTAAGCCCTTTTCGAATTTTGATAAATTTAAAAATAAACTTAAAGAAATGTTATATTATATCTCTTTAAAATATCCGGATAATGCAGTAATGTTAGGCGGAGATTTTAATTGAAAAATAGGATCCCAAAACCAATTAGGTGGAGATATCTTTTCAAATAAATTTTTGAAATGAGATCTAGTTTGGATTTGAGAATAAATAAAAGAGGAGTGGAGGTGGTGGATCTTTTTGAGCGAATGGGTTACTGTGTTTTGAATTGTAGAACTAGGGGAGACTGTCCGGCCCAGATCACCTATTCGGAGAAAGGTAATTCCTCAATAATAGATTTAGTGTGGATTAATCTCTCCACGGCGCAGCTGATTAGTGATTTCAAGGTCGACCAAATACCTACACTGAAAAAAATGATATTGTCGATTTTGTCATACGAGTATGGTTAGAACTTATAGCTGAAACAACAATACTGTAATTCTGTTCTTAAAATACAGTATTGGTGTTCTTTACATACATATTATTACATCCAAATGCAATAGGAAAACGGAAAAATAATTTTTTAAAAAATTGGTATGACTCAGAATGTAGAGAAAAAAAATATTATTAAAAAAATTACTTAGGATTTGCAGGAGAAAGAATTCCCATCCCTCCCCTGTCATCTCTGTTTGAATATATGATAAGAATAAAAAAGAATACAAACAACTTTTAAAAAGGAAAAAACTCGAATATAAAAACAATATTTTGGATAAAATTTCATGTACTAAAGACCCAAATAAATTTTGGAAATTAAATAACCGGTTTTAATTTAAAGCTCATAATAAAGAATACATTGAAATAGAGGAGTGGGAGAAATTCTTTGAACCCAGCTTAACGACTCGACCCATTACCATTTGCTTGCAGAATCCTTTATTTTTAAATAACCCATTCTTAGAAAAAGAGATAACAATAGAAGAAACTATCCTGACTCTGAAAAATTCAAAAAATAACAAATCTCCAGGACCTTAAATCATACCATATTGTGGAAAAAGTTATATACTGTCAAAAAACGATCTCAAACTCAATGTAAATAAAACTAAAATTATTATTTTCAATAAAAGAGGATATCTCCGGCCTTTAAAGCAGAAACTTAATTTTAATTATGGTAGCAAAGTTATAGAGATTGTCAAAAACTATACTTATCTTGGTACGATTTTGTCTAATTCTGCGACTTTTAAAGATAATCTAGATTTTCTACCAACTAAATCTGCTCTAGCAAAAGATTTGACTCTATCTGTGATATATAAAGCCCAGTTGGACTCTTGGAGCCATATCGGTCAATTATTTAATTCTATGGTAACATCTGTTGGGCTATTCTCTGTACAGGTGTAAGGACTGAGATATTTGAACGAATTAGAAAAAATACAGAATAACTTTTATAAACAATTGTTGTGTCTCCCTAAATGTACCCCAGCGTACGCAATGAGAATTGAAACTGCGAATTCACACCTTTCCGTTCGTATCTTCAAACTAATTTTAAATTGTACAGAAAAATTCTTAAAATGGAAGATAATAGGCTACCAAAAATAACATATAATAGAATAAGAGCCTTGAACTGTGGAGTAGAAAAAAAATTCAAATTTAACTGGGGATGCCAGCTGGGCAATATTTTTGAGGAGTTTGGTGAGAAGAGGGCTTGGAATCTCTAAGTCTTGAGACTATACAAAAGTCTAAATCACATTGGATAAATTTGTATGAAAAGCATCTTAAACAAAGAGATTTTTCAAGGGCTCAATCCACCTCCTCATTACTCCTATATCCTTATTCAGAGATAAAACACAAAACGCATTTTTTAATAAACAAAAGAATCCCTTTAGATGTTTGCAGATTATTTGTCCACCTTAAACATTTTAATACATATCAGCCGAAATTTGTATGGAAAAAATTGTGTTTTAAAAAAAAATAATTACTGTAACTTTTGTGTGGAAATGTTTAATGGAAAAAATTATATTTTACATTTTTTAATAGAAAGTAGAGCACTAAAAGATGAGCGAATGGAAATTATAAAAAATACTGATGATTTGAGTGAAGTACGGATGAAAATGTAAACTATCCGGATTTTAACTCGATTAAAAAAATAGCAAAATTCTTATTAAAAATTATAGAATAAAGGATAGTCTATGAAATTGTATGTTTTAATTTTTATTTTGTATTATTGTAAGTTTATATTATTTATATTAATGTACATCGATCTCCTTTGTATGGATTGTTATCAATGTTTAGACAAATGAATATATTATAAGAATAAATAATGAAGAAAATGTCTTTAAATTAATTTAAAGAAAATTTTTAAAACATGCGCAAAATTCAAATAAATAAAATATAGGATCTGGATATTTTGAGGATAACTTTGAGAAGGAAAAATTGAAATTTCGTTTACTGCGAAAATCTATTGTCGGTGAGAGAAAAGTACAAAAGAAAAAAGTAAGTAAAAAATTTTAAAGAAGTAGAAGAAGTAAAAGATAAAGAAGAAGAAAAAAAGAAAAAATTCTCCTTATTTATTGTTTGTACTTTTTAGTTTAATTTTCTTTACTAATTTGTTTCTACTCTTTTTCGTTGACTTTTTTTCATTAAATTTTCAACTTATTTTTAACCTTTTCAACATATTTTCAACTTTTTTTCAATTAATTTTTAACTAACTTTTAAATAATCTTATAAATAATTATCTTTTCAAGTTTTCATTTCATCGTCTCAAATTCTAATGCATAAAACTGCTTTTTCATTTCTTTCTTTCTTTCTCCTTTTGACGTTTCAAACTAATTGTTCTCGAATTGGGAGCGTTTTCGTTTTTTCATATTAGACACAACCTCGGATGTTTCGATTTTGCCAACTCCCTTCTCCATCCAATTTTTTAATTGTAAACTTGCTTTCTTACCGGATCTGTACAATTCGCGTTCCATTGTCGGTAGTTGTGACTCAATTGCTGATTCAGATGAATTTGAATTCTCAACTAAATCCGCGATTAATCTAAATCGCTCAACGAAGGTCTACAAAGAAAGACAAAAATAAAATAATTATTTCTCTCCATATAGTATTTAAAAAATTTATTACTATCATTAAACTAGTGATTTATTTTATTATTATATTTTAGCAATAATATTCAATAGTTTTTAGTTTCCATATTTATTAAAAAGTAAGTATTATTCTTAAGTGTTAATCCAATTATTGAAAAAATTAAATATATTCAAATTAATAACCATAGCAACAAAGACAAACAAATTTCAAATTTAAGTAATGCAAGTAGGCTTCACATTTATATTTATTAAAATACCTCAAAAATAAACATTCTATTAAATATGTTAAAACGAACATAAGTTCTTTTTCAGAAGCAATAAGAAGTTAAAAAAAATATTTTAATACCAATACTTTAAGTTCCTTTCTAAAAGTGAAGTAAGGTGTTTCTGCACAATGAAGTTTACTGGCATTTACTTTTTAAGTTTCATTTTTTGAAAAGAAATATTAACCCTTTAAGTACACACTTCAAAAACTTACGTTCGATACACACATGGGCGATTTGTACCCTGCAATACTTTGAAACCTTATACCTTTGTCTCAAAATGATGAAATTCAGTCGATTTTTTATTAATCGATAGGAAACGTTCTGAGGAATATGAAAAATGTAGTTTTGTTGATATAAAATTAATTTTTTAAAAAATATTTAACAATAAACAATGACATGTTTTTAAGAATGGAAAGCATTTGATCAAAAGTCCTGGGCGATCTGTACTCAGTGTGTACTTTAAGGGTTAACATTGTCTTCAACAAGTAATTACTTTGATGGATTGATAAAGTATCTGAACGAAGAATTTAAATTGCCTCAGGTAGTGACATCAACGAAACTTTGCACAAATTTTGGCGACGTGAGTATTTGGACGTAACTTTATTGTCATACAACAATCAACAATTACAAACAAGAATGGAACCAACCCATTTCTCAATAGATTCACCTCTAAAGTGGTATCATCAAAATTTCAATGGTTTCCAAATAAGCTTCTTGATATGAATGGTTACAAATGAAACTTTTCCTGTCAACCAGCCAATGACTTTCAACGAAATTTTTAAACATTTTAGCACATGATATGAATTTTGAACCTAGTCTAATAACGTTGTTATATCCTCTGGGTAGAACAAATTTTGACAACAATAATAGTGAACTAGAAAATTTCTTTTCAAAATACACATATGACTTTCAATAAATAAATCCAGAGATTTGGCTACAATATTATTCTATAATCAATTGTGATCGTTGCAATGAGGTTCTCAAAATTATAATTCTAAAACTATTTAGTCTACAAGCTGTTATTCCCAAGGAAGCAAAACCTTCCAATGATATTGTAGTTTCAACAGAACTTTGGTACATGATCTTGGCAACAATTCGTATGATTGGCATCATACGACTGATGGCATACTTATTAAAATTTAGAAGAAGTACATCGCAAACGTTAAATATCAGTCAAACTGTAATAGGAATGTTCAGTCTCGAAGTACCTGATAATTTAGGAGAAAGAATAATTTTTGGCTCACTACTGATTTCATGCATTGTATATTCAAGTTGTTTCTATTCAGTAATTCTCGACATTAGTTTTGAAGCACCTGAAGAAATTTCATCTCCTACACTGAAAAAAATATTCTTGTTTTAAGAGAATTCCTATTATTTCAATGAATATTTTCCTCTTGTATATGGCTCAAAGAAAGGTCCTCCAATGAAGAGTAATATTCCTAATTCAAGAATAAAATATAAGATGATTTTAGAAGAGGAATTGTCCTCTCAAAACAAGAATATTTTTTTTCGGTGTACGGAACTTATCCAATCACTATTAACACCAATGATTGCAAAGATGCCGCAAGTTTCATTACAGAACAGTGAAAAGTCTAATATTCGATAATGGATAGGAAGATCATCTGAGCATCCAATTGGACAAGAAGATTATTGTTTGGAAATTTTGTCTGAAAATCGGAAACAGGGTGGCCGCAAGATTGACTTTATCAATTTCCCTGACATTTCCCTGACATTTTACTGACATAACAACGAATTTCCCTGACAAAAATTTTTTTGTTTAGAGCAAAAAATGTATTGCATGACCGTATTAATTTCTTTAATTGCCCTGACAAAAAAAAATATTTCCTGACATTTCCCTGACTTTACTGACAAAAAATTTTTTTTCCTGACATTTTCCTTCTTCTTTAATTGCCTTGACAAACAAATTTTTCCTGACATTTCCCTGACTTTACTGACATGTGGCCACCCTGGGAAAGTTATTTGTGTTATTTTTAATGCTGCTTATAATACCAATAAATATCAATCTAATTACGGTAATATAAATGTGAAAATTCTGCCAGAAAATATTGAAATTGCCTATTCTACATTCATGGCTAGACCTTTTTCACCATATCTTGATCGCTACATTAAAATAATTTTAACCCTTAGAGCGCACACTTACAAATCCATCCTGAAACCGCACACTGGGTGTGCGACACCCGGGGACTTTAAAGTGTGTTCTCCAAGCTGGTATAGGATATTATCTTTTAGAAAAATTATCTTATATAGCTCAATACATCTATTTTGAAAAAAATAGGTTTCATAATGATTTATTTAATCTTAATAATTAAAAAAAAGTTTTTTAAAACTACTGAAATTACCTAAAACTGAAAACTGGGTGTCATCCACGCAGAAATTTTTCGCCGTCAACTTCAAAAATTATCAAATACACAAAGACACTTGGGACACTAATGTCACTCACGCAACATAAAGTCAAGTACAAAATGTTCCGTCCAGTAGCGACAAATGTTCAACTTTTACGAATTTAAACGAGATATTAGAATAAAAAGCTAGAATATGGGTGTCGCACATCTACAGTGTGGTTTAAGGGTTAAAAGCCTCAGACATTGGATTACTTAAAGAACTTTACAAAGAGGATCTACAAATGAGTAGCAGATATGAACCAGAGGTAATTGGAAAGGAGAAACTATTACCGGTACTACTTTTTGTACTAATCTTTGGTTACTCTCTTTCTTTTATTGTTTTTATGCTTAAAGTTATTACAGCCAAACTCAGAAGCTTTTTGGCCAAGCCGAAATTTCGATTTGTAAATTAAAAACAACACTGCTCACTTTGTTTTATAGTTTTTATATCGCAAGCAAACTAAATTACGTTAAATGAGACATAAGTTCTTTTTAAAAATGAATAAGGAGCATATAAAATACGTTAATACTAAAAATGACTGTTAATTTCTAAAAGTGGAGTATAGTGTATCTGCACAATGAAATTTACTGACATATACTTTGTGTGTTTTATTGTTTGGAATGAAATATTAGCAGTGTGTTCAATAAGTAACGGATTTTGCAAACGAGTCTAATAATGGATTCTTTTAGGACAACAGTAAATTCGCATTTCCCATCTTTTAGTGTAGGATACAGTGACATGAAATACAAAAATTTTTGCAAATTGAAGGTAAAGTTACTTTCACAACCAAAAGCATTACTTTTGATGACTTGTCACCAACAACTAACTAAGCTTTTTATTTTTCAGCGGAGGAATGAGACTGTCACAGACAGTTTTGGTCGGTTCATCAAGACCATGATGTCTAGTTCTAAACACTTTTTTCACTTGTGAAGATGTCATCAATGAAACCTAGCACTATTTTTAGACATTACTTTATTGTCATGCAGCAATCAACAATTACTAAGAAGAATCGAAGCAATAAAAATATTAAATCAATTAAATCCATTTTGCAAAAATAGTCCACAAACAATTCTCAATTTATAGTAGCAATCTACATACTGTATTATGTAAATTTACTTCGACGTAGTGCCCTTTAATAATCTTCGAGTGTGGGCTTGTTAATTATGGAAAAAAATGGTATCATCAAAATCTCAATGGTTTCCAAATAAACTTCTTGATATGAATAGATACAAATTGAACTTTTACAGCCAAACTGCTAATATTTCAACTGAATACGATTTTAAAGAAGTTGTGAAATTTTTAGATATTTTAGCACATAATACAAATTTTGATCCAAATCTGATCACCAATAAGAAGCATAAAAATACTTTAATACCAATAGTTACACTTAATTTCCAGATGTAAAGTGAGGTATTTTTTTAATAAAAATGATATTTGAATATTTTTTTAATATTGAATAATATTTTCTGGAAATTGGAAGAAATAAAAAAGTATAATATACAACTAAAAAATAATATTTAAACTCACTTTGTTCAAAACTCCCGTTATTCGTTCGCAATCTCTATGATCTAATACTCTCAAATGCATTCCAAATTCATAGAAATATTGACTCCAATTTGACAATTGAAAAGCAGTCGCGCCTGCTTCTAAGATATCCCTGAAAAAAAATTTCAAATCAATAGATCAAGATTCTAGCAAAAATAAATTCCATAAATTTGAAAATACAATTAAATACAAAAAGAAACAAATTAATCAGGGTTGCCTAACAAATTTCATTTTGTTTTTCTCTGATTTTTCCCTGATTTCCAGACAAAATTTTGATTTTTTTCCTGAACCTAAAGTTTTTGCGAAGAAATTTATAAAAAAATTTGTAAATAATTGAATTCCTGTGAAATTTTTATTATTTATGAAAATAATTTAATGCTTGAGTGGAATTTTATCAAAAAAATTTTTAAATAATTGAATTTTTTTGGAAAATTTTATTAAAACAATTGAAATTTTGTCAAGAATTTTATTAAAACTTTTGAAAATAATTTAAATTTAATTTCAGAGAAGAATTTTATTTTATTATTTATAAAGATAATTGAAATTTTGACGAGTATTTAAAAAAATGTTGAATTCTTGTTATTCTTGTTATTTAAAAGAAAATTATTGCCAGAAATAGAAAAATTTGAATGTTTTTTATTAGAATTGGTGGTAATTTCATAGTTTATAAGGCAAACAAAAAAGACACCAAAATATTAAAGACACATTTAAACATTAAATTTTTTCCAGTACTTTTAATAAGAATTAAAGAAAGAAAAATTTACATTTGGAAATTATAACTGAAAATACAAACCTGTAGGCTTCTTTATAAATTTTTGGAATGTCCTCAACTACCACCACTTTTGGATTTCTGGAGTTTCTCAAAATATTTTTATTTAAAGGCCTCACAAGCCAAAATGGTAATTCTAATTTTGATCCGGCTTTCAAGTCCTGTGTTTCACTTGAAGGATCCAAAAATCCTGAAAAGAAAAATTAAAGTGCCAAAAAAATTTTAAATTCCTGAAATGAATAAATATTTAATAAATAATTAATAAATATTTGCCTTTTTATTACAAAATAAATTTATTAATTTTCAGTTATATTAAAATCTAATCATATTTAGAAATTTTTTATAACAAAATAATTTTAAATTCTATTTAAATAAATTTCATTTTAGTTACTAACTATAAAAAAAATATATTAACACGCTTAAGAACATAAACATAACATGACATGAATGCGAAATAAAAACAAATGCGGTGAGTGAAATTTCTTCCATTTTGAAAGTAAAATGTTAAAAAAAATTCAAAGTGCACTATAAATAAGATAAAGATTTGAATAAAGATTGAAACTATTATTTTAAATAATATAAAATGTAAATAAGAATAATAAAAATTATCAAAAGTAGAAAGCAATTTATAGGTTAGGTACGCACCGAGTCCAGGCAAATCTATTTGTAGCGTACATTTTAATCGTTCCTCAGTAGCTAAAATATCAGTTATTGAAAAATAATTTGGCATATAACTCCGAACAGCCATTGTTTTATTTATTAAACACTAAAAACTATAAAATAATTAAGAAATAGTTTCAACTTGACACAAACATCAAATTGTATTCAGCGAAGAGCGCCGACAATCGACATGTAAACAAAACATGCAATGCTACTACGTAGAGATGAATCCACATATACCAAATTGAATTACACGAATGACTATTACGTCGAATCCACAACCTCAGAATCTGTATTGTTAAGGTACACTCTCACCTCACTGCCTGCCTGCCTGCGCAGGCAGGCGCCATAAGAGTGAGAGAGAAAAAACATTTAATTTGAATTTTCTGACTCTCTTACTCTTATGTGTTACCATGTCAACCTGCAGGCAGGCAGGCAGGCAGTAGGAGCTGTGCTAGCGCCTTTAGGAATTTATTTTTATCGAATTTTAAATGTAAGGAAATTTTATTTTCTGGAATTAACATTTACCGAAAATGAATATGAGAGAATAATTTATGATCTAATCGACATGTGCTGTAATTATAAATTATCATAATTTCTGTCTGTCTGAATTTTAACATAACCTAATTTTAAATTTTAGAATTCTTCAAGTTTGTAAGGAAGATGGAACCGAAATGTAATATAGAGTAAAGGCATTTTCATAGAATTAGTATTGAGGATAATAATTATATACACGAATAATAAAGAAATCTATTTTCAAATGTAAATAATAACTGTTGAAACGAATTTGTTTTTCTAGATTTATAATCTGACATAATTTCCATTTGCACAAAAATATAATTAACAGAATTTAGAATGGTCGATTTTTCATTGTGCAGTTCGCGCAATTTTGTTTTCTCCACTATGTAAAATACGTTAAATACGCCTACAAACTTACGAAGTGCGTTATTTTACAATAAATACTTTATTTTACGCTCCTTGTTACGTATTCTTGTCGATATTTACTATTTTCTACAGTAAGATAAAAAACGTAATTTACAAAAAAAAACACATTAAAAAAAGAAAAAACGCAGTAATAAAGAAACCTAGTAAAGATAACGTTAGTTTAAAGAAAACATATAAAAAGCACCTTAATTTACAACAGAAAAACTACGTTTTCCAAACTAAAAAAAATCTACCCCTACCAACTTTTAAAAAAACAGGCGCGAAATTCAAATCATAAAATAAATAAAAAATCATTCGCAGTAAAAACAATAATAGTTATTTTAAATTATCAACTAAATAAACAATTTCTATAAAATAAAAAAATTAATTTTCATCTACATTTTCCTGCTTTATGTCAATTGAATTTTTTTATCTCTGCGACACTTTAGAAAAAATAATTTCTAAACTTTATTATGACCTTAAGTATATATTGCACACAAAAGATAAATAGTTTTGAGGAAAAGAAAAAAATTGGTTTATCAATAAAATTTAAATGTTTAAACGATAGAATAATTACACGTGTAAATCGTATATTTTAAAGGAGGAAAAACATTTTCTTTTTTTTATCGTGTCCTGTAGTGTATAAAAGAGAGGAATTTCTTGAAGAAAACATTATTTTGTGAAATACGATAATTTGGAGAAGTGAAGCGAGAGAGAGAAAAAAAATCAATTTTCAATAATTCTCAAATTTTATTTTAAATCATGAGGCCTTATGGGGTTTTATTTGTCGTGGCTGCCGTAACAGTTTCCACTTGTCTTGCCGCTGACGCAACCGATAATGATACAATTTTAAAGAAAATTGGTAAAAAATAATTAATTCTAAATTTTTATAAATATAATTGGAGTAAGAAGAAAATTAATTTTTAGGTTTAAAATTAATTTTAAATAATTTTTTCAATATTTTTTTTATTATTTGCAAATATTCAAAAAATTATTTAAAAAATCTATTTTTAAATTTTATAATATTTTTTTTGTTTTATAATACTTTTTTAATTTTTAAACATGGGAATTAATTTTTTTTAATTCGTTAAATATTATAATTAATTTTTTCGCTTTTATTTAAATTTGAAGTAAAATTTACGTTCTTCATTAACAAAAAATTGTGTTTTAAAATTCCATTACTGCACTGTAAAAAATTTAGGGAGTTAACGGACTCGGGAGTTGGGAGTTAAATTTTTCGAATTAAAAATCAACTCTAAAAGAGAGTTAATTTCTAACTCTCTTCATTCAACACCCGCGCGAGTTATTTTTCCATGGGGAGTTAGCATTTGGGTGTTAAATTTTAACTCTCTTTATTTAACTCCCCTGGCATTAACTCTCCAATGGGTGCGACTTTTATAGAATCCCCTAGGGAGTTAAAATTTAACTCCCTTTTTTTACAGTGTAGTAAAATTTAATTAAAATATTTAATAATTTTAATTATTAAATAATAAATATTATTACCTAAATAATTTTTATTAATATTATTATTAATTATCATTAAATAATAAAAATTATTTAAATTTTCCCGGAATAATTGTTATTATTATTATTATTGCTTCCTCATAGAGGAAGGATTGTATTATGTCCCGTGTAGAAATTGCCCTACTAGGGCCATAGTAAGGAATGAAACGCCGCGCCCGATCAGGGCCAGATCGGGGCGACAAGAAAATGTGGATTTCCTGATCAGGGCCACATCGGGCGCGGCGTTTCATTCCCTAATAGGTCGGCCCTATCCGGCCCTGATCAGGGCCCCAGCGAAATTTCTACACGGGGTATAGTATAATTTTCGATTGTGATTTTTTGACTTATTTATAAACTAATTTTCATTACAGCTAATCTTTTAGTACGCTTTAACATTTTTCGTCCATGTTAGCCAGAGATTTATTAAAGTTTTAAAAATCTAAATTTTTCGAAAATAGTACTTTTTTGAAAATGTTGTTGAAAAATGTAAAAGTAACTTTAAAAGTACACTGAGAGACCTTTGGGTCAGCAGCAGACTTTCGATAGGCTGCTACTGACCATTTTGGAGGAACGCTACAGGACTATACTTTTGGGTTGCTGCGGTAAAATCTTGGGCGCGTGACAGTCCCAAAGTTGTTCAGCTGCAAACCAAAGGCGGCATTCCCACTACTTCGGTGAGCTGCTCACCAACATTTGGGACTGTCACGCGCCCAAGATTTTACCGCAGTGCACCAAAACCATAGTGGAGCTGCTGTCACATACGTTGTTCCGCTACAGTCCCAAAGGTCTCTCAGGGCCAGTTTCACCAAACTAGTTCAAGCGAGGCGCATGAAAAGTCTCCAATTTTTATTTTCCGAATCTTTATTTTATCGAAATTCTTTTTATCTAATAAGAATTAATTATAATTTCTTTTAATCGAAAGAATAATTGTGAAAAACATTATTTTTTTGAATGACTAATTAACAGAATGTTTAATACTGCGAAAGAAAATTTTTTATAATCTTCAAATAACTGAATTATCATTTCTAAAAATTATTATTTTTTATATATCTTATTTACACTAATATTTTCATTTTCGAAATGTCAATTTTCATAAATATTATTTTATAGATTTGTTAATAATTATAATAATTATGTTCCCGAATTATTATATAATATAATTCAAATATTACCGAATTACCAATTCTTAAAAAATTTATTGTTCCTAATAATATTTTTTTATAAGGGAGCGTTCATAAACTACGTAGCATGCTAAGAATTGGTAATTCGGTATTATTTGAATTATATTGAATAATAATTCGGGAATATAATTATTATAGTTATTAACAAATTTAAAAAATAATATTTATCAAAATTGACATTTAGAAAATAAAAATATTAGTGTAAATAAGAAATATAAAAAATAATAATTTTTAGAAATGATAATTCAGTTATTTGAAGATTATTAAAAATTTTCTTTCGCAGTATTAAACATTCTGTTAATTAGTCATTTAAAAAGATAATGTTTTTGATAATTATTCTTTCGATTAAAAAAAATTATAATTAATTCTTATTAGATAAAAAGAATTTCGATAAAATAAAGATTCGGAAAATAAAAATTGGAGACTTTTCATGCGCCTCGTTCAAGCACTGAACTCGTTCAAAGTATGAGTTGAACGAGATCAAGTCTCTGCGTACGTTTCACCATCTACTTAACCACGTTCAACTCGGTTGAACTAAGTTTATATTTTAATCGCTGAATTTTGTCGGTTTAAGCAGAGTTGACCGCGTTCAACTTGCCGAACTCTCCCGAAGCGCAGTGCGAACTTTTACGATTTGTTGATTTTCTTAAGGGACTACTACTTATATATAAAAAATTAATTAACATTCAGTGTATTATTTACTTAACAAAATAAGTGGAATCATTATATATACAAAGCATTCTATCCCAAACTGACCCACTATCAAAACAATATTGCATGTAGATGCTTTGTTTCAACAGATTTAACTTTATTAAATGTAAATTAAATTAAAAAAATACCTATAAAGAAAGAAGGATTTTAAAAAAAGAAAAATAAATCTGACAAATGTTTAGAAATATTCATATAAAAGCCATTACAAATTTTAAATGGTCATTTAATTGACATTCGTATTGAAATTTACAAATATGATCTACTACACCACAATCACAAAATATGTATGCACTATTATGTTATTAAATTAAGAAAATATAAAAAAGGACTTTAAAAAAAAGTTTGGCTCTCTCTGTCTAATTTTGCTTTCAACAAAAAATTTAAATTTTGTAATTTTTGAAATAACTTTTTTCTTTATTAAAATTTTCATTTACTCTTGTCAAAATTGTATTTCTGCCATGAAAACGAATCGATTCATGTATATAAAGTATATATTTTATCAATATTTATAAAATTAATCGGACGATATTTTTATTTTTAACAAAAAATTCAAATTTTGTATTTTTTGAAATTTTTTTAAATACTTTTAAATAATTATTCTAGAATAAGAAATTAAGCAATTGGTATATATTATATTGTGGAAGCTAAATGATCATGAAAAGAACAATTTGATTTTTACTCCACTACTCATTTTTTATTAAGGTTTTAATTTAAAATAATAGATATTAAGCTCAAAAGAACCTATGCGACATTTATATTTTAGGTTAGTTCAGTTGTTTATTTACATTCTGTGGTTAGATTTAAGCGCCATAACCACTAGGAAATTCTAGGGAATGTAGATTAACAAAACGACATTAACCTATGCGACATTTATATTTTAGGTTAGTTCAGTTGTTTATTTACATTCTGTGGTTAGATTTAAGCGCCATAACCACTAGGAAATTCTAGGGAATGTAGATTAACAAAACGCGTTCATTTTAAACTGGGATTAGGCTGGTGAAACGCACTAGCGGTTAACTCTGAGGCTGGAGTCCCATGGTAGAGTTATACGTTGCGTTTTGTAACTAGGCAATGAGTGCAAATAAAGAAAACCTATATCTGTATCTCTCTCACACTCATGGCCTAGTTACAAAACGCAACGCAAAACGATGCCATGGGACTTGACCCTAAGGCTGAGGCTGGAGTCCCATGGCAGCGTTTTGCGTTGCGTTTTGTAACTAGGCCATGAGTGTGAGAGAGATACAGATATAGGTTTGCTTTATTTGCACTCATGGCCTAGTTACAAAACGCAACGCAAAACGCTGCCATGGGACTCCACCCTGACGATCAAGAGTTGAACGAGTTCAGTTGAACCAAGCTTAACCGCCAGTTGGTGAAACTGGCCCTCAGTGTGGTATTTGAAAAATCAAAAATTGTGGAAAATATCATCTTTTCAACATTATTAAACTATTATAACCATCTTATAGAATATATAAAATCATATTTTTTGGGCCAAGATTTAATGATTTTTTACTCTTTTATAAAAATTAATTCTTATATTTCAATTATTATTATTTCTATGAGGAAGCAAAGTGTTCATGAAATGAACACCAAAATCATAAAAATGTACAACTTGGCAGCGGTTTTATTATTATTATTATTATTAATACTATTAAATTAAAAATTCGTACATCCAGTGATATATTTGATAATAAATAATAATATTATTATTTATGAGTGAGTGACGAATTTTAAGATAAAAATGATTATCCATTAATTCCTGAATATTATTATTTATTATTATTATTATTATTATGATTATTATTATTATTATTATTATTATTATTATTATTATTATTATTATTATTATTATTATTATTGTTTTATCTTATTTTTTTAATTCTTATAAAAATTATTGTTATGTAATTTGTTCAATAAACTGAAAATTCAGTAAATGCTAATAAAGAACAATTTTTTTCAGGTGACATCATTATTGCTATAGGAAAGAGATTTTTACTAGGATCTGAAAATAAATAAAATTTATAATTTTTCCTAATGAAATGTTAAATAAAATTGAAAAGTAAAAACAAACTTATAAAAACAGAATTTTTTTTCCAGTCTCGATTATTATTACAATTATATTATGTATATTTAAATAATTATATATTAACAATAAATATGTAAAATTTCTTTTAATTAATAAATTTATTTACTAATTTATCTGTATATATATAAAGTAGTGCAATTTATTTAATAATATATAAAATAAATAAAATGTAGAAAAAACTGTTTACGAATAAATTATAATATAAATATTATTTACTAGCTGTCGTACCCGTCTTCGACGGGTTTTAGTTTCTTCTAATACATTAAATAGCGTGTGTCTACCAGTCTCGAAAAATGGGAAATAGCGGAGAATTTAATTTGACCGGAAAAAATAATAATTAGCTACCATTAACTATTTCATTAGATAAATATTACTATTTTAAATCAGTGATTGACTTTTTATCATCAAATAATTTATTTTTAATTAATTAAAATGCAGAGAACAATGTTTGTCAATTATTTGTAGAAATTTAATTATTGTATTATAAGTTAATCCAAAATTTCCACCAGTTTTTGGAGTTACAATGAAGTCAAATTCGAACTAATTGTATCAGCTGGGAGTATAATAAATTATGGATTTATAATAAACAAAATTTACAACATAACTACTTTTTAAATATCCAAACAAAATTTCCATCCACAATTAATTGTATCATAATTGCTAAAATCTAAAATAAGACCTATATTGCAGGCTGAATTCACAGTTTTTCCCGATTAAATTAAATTCCTGCATATTTCCCGTTTTTTCCAGTTGGTAGAACCCCTGTTAAAAGTATCAGTAAAAACAAAAACCCGTCGAAGAGTATTTTCATAAAATAAGTGAATTTTTGTAGCCATTTGTAGATTTATTTAATGTTAATTCTTCTCAAGAAAATTTATATTTGATGAGAAAAGATACACCTGTAAAAATTTGGACAAAGCTGGGAAAAACCGGATAGTTTGTTAAACAAAAATAATAATAGACACCTTGTTTAACTTTTGCCTTTACATAATGCTCAAAACATCCCTAAAAGTTAAATCAAGAATTAAAATAACAAAACTTTTTACTATTTAAGTTTTTTCCCAGTAGCATAATGCAAGTATCTTATCACAGAGGTATTCTTGAATTTCTGCAATATCAATTTTATCATAAAAAATCTCCATTTTTAATATTTTCGAAATTTTTGCAATTGAAAATTGTTGATTAATTGGATAAACAAATAATTCTAAATTCCATTATTTTGAAGTCAAAAGTTTATCAGAGACCCCAAAAATACTCCTGAATTAAGCTTGATAGTAATTTGTCTGTCAATTATAATTTTTCAATTTTTTTATATTAAAAACATTTTTATACTTATACTTCCATCTTATAGTTACAGGACAGTATTTTTTTCAAAATTATGCTAAAATATGACAAAATAACATGTAATATTTAATTACTGAAAGTTTAAAAGATATACAATAAAAAATATAAAATTTGGAAATTTTCAATTTTTTGAAAAAATTGAATACCTCCCGTTCTAATTAATATGTTTAAAATCTGTAAATTTATTGTTTATATATATCTTATAAAAGTTAAACTGATTAATTTACAGCAATCTGTCAAAATTAAAAAAAAAAATTTCGATTTTTTGGAAAATTTATAATTTTTTTTCATATTAATATTATTTTTTAATTCAATTTATTGTTATATATCTTTATAATCATTTGAATTATTAATAAATTAAAAAATGTATGCCAATCTGCAAAAATTAAAAAAAAAAAATTTTTTTGAATTTTTTGAAAAATTCATAACTTTTGTTTAGCTCAATATTTTTTCATCAAATATAGCTAATATTTTAAGTTAGACCAATATCTAAAAGATTGTCAAATTTTACTTCAATCGGTCAAGACGTTTTCAAGTTATACGCGAACAAGATTTTGCGGACATACATACATACATACATAGATACATACATACATACATACATACATGCATACATACATACATACATACAGACAGGAAATTTTCTATTACCATTTTTGGATTCTCCGTTGTTCAAATAAATAAATTATGCTATTAAAAATTAATTTCGTGCAATGTACAGACAAAAGTCTGATTTTATTAATATAGAAGATAGATTGAAAATCTGTAATTTGCAAATATGCACGGAGAAAAAGGAATAGTTGACACATCCAGATACATGGATATCACAGCCATATTATATTGAAAAATACGGGATATCCATAGTTAAGGTTGCTGCATCCATATTCTATGGCTGGCTGTATATTGTTGGAGTAGCAAAAGATCTATGGTTGGGTGATCCATAGTAATGGGAATGGGAAACAAAAAATTGGAATCACTCAATTAATTAAATTCAATGTTACTTGAGATATTTTATACACATTTTTGTTAATTAATACACACCACTTATTGAATAACCGCATATTTACGAAATAAATTATTAACCGATGGGGGAGACACGAACCCTAGACCTAACGCATACTAAACACTAACGCTATCCACTACACTATATACACGCAACTACAATATTTGAGCATATAATATTCCTTATATACTCTACACATATTTCATGAAAATGAATTTACATAAAAACTAATAGACAATAACGATAATAAATAATAAACAATTATAACACTATTTATACACAATATAAACTCACAACGTGATTATATAGACGTGACAGGAAACCGACGCGACGGACAAATTGAGACGACCATTTTTAAATGCGGATGCCATGATAATGAATTGCGCGCAACATGTATCGAAATTTTGAACTAACTATGGATCTCCCAACCAAAGTTTATATGGATGAGGCAGCCACATGTGAAAATCCATAGCATGAATTGTAAGGAATATGTGCTTCCATTCTGAAAGTTGTCTCTTCCATTGAATTGGATAACACAACAATATTCTGCTCAACAATATTTTTATGGATATCTCTTCCAGACCTTTTCTTTCCGTGTGTAATTGAAAATAAAAAATTAAATTTATGTATAATTAAGTTTATTTCTTCTCTACACTTTATTTATTTATTAAAAATAATTGTTCGCTTCAAAAAATTAAATTTCTTTATTTTTTCGACAATTTAGTAATGTCATTTTTTTGTTTAAAAATATTTTTATATAATTCATATATTTTCTTTTGCTTGTTTACAGTTTATGAAATAATTATAATTATCATTGTTAAAAAACACGATTATAAGCACTATTTTTTATCAAGGTTTTGCTGATATATAATTCTATGGTATGCTTGTAAGTATACAGTTGATAAATCACCTGATAATGAAAATTGTTTTAAAAAAATACAAAATGTAAATTAAATTGAATTGTTAAACAAAATTTACTTGATACTGTCTTTACTGCTTTTCTTTAATATATTGTTCTTTTACCAGTGTTCAGCAATTTAGCCCAAAAATAGCAAATTATTTAAAAATTGCATATTAAAGTTTTTTCTTATTAATTATTACTCATTTTTATTATTTTCATTATATAATAAAATTACAAGTAAAATTATAATTTTCAAATTTAAAAATAAAAATTGAATAATATAATAAATAAACAAAATTTAAATAATAACAAATTAAATTAGATTAATAACACGGAAAAAATCTTTATCTGGAATAGCTACAAATTTCTGTGAATTTGCGAAATTTTTAGTTGTTTCAGTAAATACTATATATATTATTATTATTAATAATCATTTATTACTAATTAAATAATAATTAAAATAAAGTATTAAATATTACTTTCTATAAAAATAAATATATAGATTTATTTATAAAATATATTATAGAATAAAGAGAATAATTAATTATTATATTATCAATTTATTAACATTGTTTTACTCCACTATTAATACTATTACTATATAAAATAATAATAATAATATTCATAATAATTAATAATATAGAATATAATATAATTAATAATAATTACTTTATTCAAACGAATTATTAACTTTACCAACTTGCTTCTGCAGTAACAATAAATAACAATGTAAATAGTATTGTATAAGTTCCTATATAATAATAATAATAATTAAAAAAGAAATGTCGGACTTTATAAAGGTTCCACGCTATTGAATTCCTGTTTCCCAACCCCAGATAGCACAACATTTTGCAGAAAGTTTGCAGCAAATTTGCATGCAAATTTGTGGCAAATTGGTAAATGTCCGCCTTGTGTAAAGTTTGCTGAGCAAACTTGCAATTATTTGGTTTTCAAAGAAAACTTGCAGAAAAGTTGTAACAAACTTACAGCAAACATTCTGAAAACTTTAAAAATTTTCAAAAAAACCTTCTTGTATTCAAAATGTTTGTCTTTTGTGAAATGTTGCTTTCCCTCTTAAGGAAGGCGACAAAATGTAGTGCGCAGCTCTATATGTCACAGAAAACTACTGCGCAGACATTTTAATTTACCTTGACGCAAGTTTTCTGCAAGTTTGCTCCGCAAACTTTACACAAGGCGGACATTTACCAATTTGCCACAAATTCGCTGCAAACTTGCATGCAAATTTGCGAAGTTTGCAATGCAAACTTGCTGCAAACTTTCTGTACACTGAAAAAAAAGTATTGAACCAAGAAAATTTTTCTTGGTTGAATCAAATCGTGGGATTGAATACGGCCAAGACTATTAAAGTATTGATTCAAGAAAACGATTTTCTTGACATAGGATATTTGGGAGAAGAACATATATTCTTGATCCAAGAAAACATGGAATTCGACCAAGAAGTTAGTCTTCTTATACGAAGTATGAAATGTATTAAATGAATAAAATATTTTCTTGTTCTAAGAATATATATAGATGATTGAATTATTTTATTCGATTCATTCAATTTTTTGTAACGTTCGTTCAAGTAATTCAAGATTTAAATGAAGAAAACATTTATTTTGTGAGAAGAACAGATATTCTTGATCCAAGAAAATATGGAATTCGACCAAGAAGTTAATCGACTTGTACGAAATATAAAATGTATTAAATGAATAAAATATTTTCTTGTTCTAAGAATATATATATATATGATTGAATTATTTTATTCGATTCATTCAATTTTTTGTAACATTCGTTCAAGTAATTCAAGATTTAAATGAAGAAAACATTTATTTTGTGAGAGAACGCAGATATTCTTGATCCAAGAAAATATGGAATTCGATCAAGAAATTAAGTAGCATGTAAGAAATGCAGAATATATTAATTCAAAATCATTTATGTATCAAATCAAGAAAGTATGTTCTCTGTCCGAGAAAATTTTTTCTTGATTTGAGAAAATTTATAGATTTCAATCAAAAAAATACTTTCTCAATACAAGTAAATTATTTACTTAAATTACCCCCCCCCCCTAACCTCCATCCCATCTTTTGTAATACTTAGGTCAAACATTTTTATTATTTAATTAACTAACCTTTATATTTTTTATTTAAATAATTAAATAATTGTTATTTTACATATATATTTACATTTAATTATTACTTAACACAAATACAACAAATATACCTTGAAAGAAAATTTTCCACGGTCGGAGGAATTGAACTCGGGTTGCACGCACCAGAAGCCGTCACGCTACCACTATGCCATCCTAGCCTCAATGGACAGTTTTCAAAAACTGATATTTAAGTTGCATATACATTTGAAGAAAAATATTTTCTTGGATCAAGAACACCGGCATTGTGTTAAGTAAAAAAAAGTTTCAAAGCAAATAAATAAAATGATTCGATTCAAGAAACATGAATTCTCCAGACAATACTTTATTATTTCGCTTAAGAACATGATATTCTAGATTCAATACTTTTTGGTACTTCGGAAAAGTAAAATATTTGGTTGAAATAATTACATATTTAGTTCCGCCAAATACTAAATTGTTAACTCAAGAATTTTGTTCAATGCTAATGATTACTTGACACAAGAAAATGAATTTCTTTCTTCAAATAAATATGGGATTAATTGAATGTAATTTTTAATTAACTTGAAACAAATATTTACTTATATTAACCTTCGTATTTTCTTGAATCAGGATTATATGAGCGTTGAATTAAGTAAAAACTTTTTTAAAGGAAACAAAAGAATGATTTGATTTAAAAATTTTATGACTAATTCAACTAAAAAAATAAATTTTTTAATTCAAGAGAAATATAATATTACTTTAAGAAATTAAATGTTCTTGAAACATGGTAATATAGAAGTGCTTCAAGTACAAGAAATGATTAGATTAATTAATATTTCTTTAAAACAAAATAATTTTTAATTGAGTTGAAACAATTATTAACTTATATTAATCTTCATATTTTCTTAGCTCAAGACTATGGGTGTTAGATTAAGTAAAATCTTGTTTTAAAGGAATCAAAAAAATGATTTAGTTCAAGATCTTACAGTTAATTGAATTGAATAAATAAAATATTTCATTCCAGAGAATATAACATTCTCGCAAGAAATTAATGATTTTGAAACATGAGAATATAGAAATGCTTCAAGTAAAACAAATGCTTAGATTAATTAATATTTCTTTGAAACAAAATAATTTTTAATTGAGTTGAAACAATTATTAACTTGTATTAATCTTCCCATTTTCTTGGCTCAAGACTATGGGTGTTGGATGAAATAAATAGTTGCTTTAAAGGAAATAAAAAAATGATTTGACTCAAGATACCAAATGACTCAAGGTAAATTACTTGACGTGAGAACATGATATTCTTGATTCAATACTTTTTCGAGACTTGGCGCATGTAAAACAGTTCGTTTAAAACAGTAAGATATTTACTTATGTCAAACCCATATTTTCTTATTTCAATAACTTTGATCAATGCTCAAAATTACTTGACACAAGAAAATAAATTTCTTCCAATAAGAAAATATGGGTTTGTTTCAAATAAATCAGGTCAAGAAAATGCATTTACTTGATTCAATGAACTTTTTTTTTCAGTGTAGTTAAATTGATCAAGTTTCAAGTAATAAACTTTTTATTTAAACAATCATAAACCTTCAGAACAATGCCTTTTTTCCCCACTCGACTCAACTCAGTCACAATGACCAATTCGCTACGCACCTTTCTTTAACAATAGATTTCCGAGTCTATTGTGATGATTTTAAAACAAGAATTTTATAACTTTAAAATTCTGCATTTTAACTAATTCAACTTTGTAACATAAAAATTTTGAACCTATGGTATTTTACGATTCCAAATATCTAAAATTTATTTCAAAAATCTTTTTTTTAATTATAACCCAAACCTTATAATTTATTTTAACAAATGTTTTTTAAAATAAATTTTAGATATTTGGAATCGTAAAATACCATAGATTCTAAATTTTTATGTTACAAAGTTGAATTAGTTAAAATGCAGAATTTTAAAGTTATAAAATTCTTGTTTTAAAATCATCACAATAGATTCGGAAAATCTATTGTTAAAGAAAGGTGCGTATCAAATTGGTCATTGTGACTGAGTTGAGTCGAGTGGGAAAAAAAGGCATTGTTCTGAAGGTTTATGATTTTTTAAACAAAAATTTTATGACTTAAAATTTGTTTAATTTAACTAATTGGAGTTTATAATTTAAAAATTCAAAATCTGTGATATTTCATGATTCCAAATATCTAAAATTTATTCTAAGAAACTTCATTTTGAAGAAATTAAAAGATACGCTTCAAGTATGGTCAGCCTGGTTTGTGAAGTGAAGTGAGAAGCTGATAGAGTTCTCACAAAACATCAAATCCATATTAAAAATCCTGTCAGAAATAATCAGAAAAATGACAAATCATCAGAGTCACGAAAAAGCACCAGAAAATCTGACGAATAATCAGAATTCTGATGTTTTGTCATGATTCCTCATTATTTTTTTAGTAGGGATATGTGTAATCTTGTGTCTCACCCCCCCCCTCCTTCAAGGTCGTTTTCTTTGTACGCACGAACACGTCTTTATTATAGAAGCGTTTCCAAAACGCGGTTCGCGAAAAAAAATCTATTCCTGCACATAATGGAAAAATTTTATTGAATAATGTTTTCTTAAAAAATGCGGTACTTAAAAAAATATTTTAAATTAAACTTAAATTAAAATATTGATAATTAAAAATAATTTTGTTTACTATTTATTTATAATTGAGTATGTTGCTGCAATAATCGGTGGAGTGCTCAGCAAGATGCTATGCCGCCAGTCAAACGGATTAAAAAGTGGAAAAAATCAAAATTGAAAATTTTGATTTCAGAAATAATATACCTTGTAACAAATGAAATATAGCATATTATAAACATCAAAATTTTAAATTTCCATTTATTGAAACTTTTTAATTCATATGACTGGCGTCATAGTATCCTGCTGAGCGCTCGATTCATTATTCCAACGACACGGTCAATTGAGAGCGTGGAAAGTATAACCTACGCTGAGCTTGAATTTCATTTCCTGCATGAGACAGCCTTCTGCTGCGCAATGAAGTTGCGCGTAAGGACAGTGTCGCTCATTCAAGAAATTCAATTATTAAAAAAAAAAATAAAATACATTTTACAAACTTTATTAAATTATATCTTTTTTTAACAGCATTAGTGGAAGATTAAGATTAAAATGTAGATTTTTAGAATTTATTTTTTTTAAATACCTATTTGATTTAAAATAAGAAATTTTTAATTTTAATTCATTTGTTTCTTTTTAATTTTCAGCACCAACTACATCTCGCGAAGGACTGTCTACAAGTTTAGTAACAAAGACTGAGGAGGAGAAATCTCGAATTCCGGAAAAACAATTTTTCATTTCTAGTGGAAGATTGAGTTTAAAATGTTAGTGTTTAAAAGTTGTATTTTAAAAATATTTTTATTTACATTTAAAATTTACATTTGTAGTTAATTTGTTCATTTTTTCTCTTTTTCAGCAACAAATGAATCTCGTAAAACACCACATTCTACTAGTTTATTTTACGGAAAAACTGAGCAACAAAAATCATCTGAAAATTTGACATTTTCTCCTTCACCATCATTGTCAACTTCAAAGACAGAAGAGACTGAACGTCGAAAAGCAGAGAAGAAAACTTTTGGCCTGAGTGGAATATTAAGATTAAAATGTAAGTTTTTTATATTTATTTTTTTTAAATATTTGAATTAAAATGAGAAATTTTTAATTTTAATTCATTTGTTTCTTTTTAATTTTCAGCACCAACTACATCTCGCGAAGGACTGTCTACCAGTTCAGTAACAGAGACTGAGGAGGAGAAATCTCGAATTCCGGAAAAACAATTTTTCATTTCTAGTGGAAGATTGAGTTTAAAATGTTAGTGTTTAAAAGTTGTATTTTAAAAATATTTTTATTTACATTTAAAATTTACATTTGTAATTTATTTGTTTATTTTTTCTCTTTTTCAGCAGCAAATGAATCTCGTAAAACACCACATTCTACCAGATTATTTTACGAAAAAACTGAGCAACAAAAATCATCTGATAAATTGACATTTTATCCTTCGTCATCATTGTCATCATTGTCAACTTCAAAGACAGAAAAGACTGAACCTCCAACAGCAGAGAAGAAAACTTTTGTCATGAGTGGAAGATTTAGATTAAAATGTAAGTTTTTTAATAATTAACCAAGGAAAAAATGATTCGTACGAATTTCGTGCAGAATTTGTACGAATCATTTTCACCTGAGTACATTTTAAAAACATTTTATTAAAATAACAAGTTAACAATTTTAATTTATTTGATTCTTTTCTTCTTTTTCAGCACCAAGTGATTTTCCTGAAAAGCTTTCACACCGTGAAACAAATTCACAAGAATCAGCCGAGATATTGCCAGTACCATCATCTGTTCCACCAAGTACAAGTAATAAAAAATAAAATTCTTTAAAATTAGTGTTGAAAAATAAGACATAATTCATCATTATTATCTCTTTTTAGCATCATTTCGTGAATTTAATGTTGCAATCGTGAAAGATAAAACGCAGCATGAGCAAACAATTGTTGCTGATGTTAATGCAGGACCATCTACTTCTTATTATGTTTACCGTGTACCAACAGAAACATCATCGTCATCAACTGGACTCGATTTAAAAATCACTTCTTCAACAGTAAAGAAATAAAAAAATCAAGAAGCTAAATTTTCCCTTTCAACATCAACTTCAAAAAGAGAAGGTAAAATTTTTATTCTATTTTCTTTTATTACATTTTCTTAATCACTCTTAATATAAAATTAATAAAATTTCTATTTACACTGAAACCCCCGAACTTTAGACTTCCGAACATTAGACTGTGTTGACATCAAGTATGGGCGAAGCAGGGAGAGAGGTCGAGGGAATGTAATGGCGGATTTAACCTTTAAAGTGCTATGCCGGTCTGACAGACCGCTATTAAAATTTTCTTTGCTTGTAACTTTTTTTCAAAGTATAATAAGAACTTGAACTTTTTAGTAGCTTCATATTTTATGAAAATCTGTTAGGAGACAACTTTTTCAAAAATTTTTATTCGTTAAATTTTGTAATATAAATAAATATTTGAAGTATAGCGGTCTGTGAGACCGGGGTTAGCTTTAAGTGAAAGTATATTCCAGTATATTCCCATGAGTGACGTCTGCGCAACTTGACGCGCAGCTAGTTCTACTGACAGTTCTCATAGACTGCATTTATAAAATAAATAAAATAAATAAATGCATAATACAGAAATGACTTTTTTTGTTAAAAAGTAAAAAATATTTATAATAGTTGTCTTTTAAAAATTATAAATGACTAAAAAACTGTCAAAAGGGAATAGCGGTCTGACAGACCGGGGTTAGCACTGAGCGTGATTTTTCAACACTTAGCACTTGAAAGGTTAAGGTTAGGACCAGTAGCGTAAATTTAAAGTGTTCCTTTTTTGTGGCTTTATTTTTTGCGTGTAAAAATTAAAAAATTATAATCGAAAATAAAAATACGTGGCATTCGATATTGAAAATAAGTGTGAAATATGAAGGAAAATAGACGTGTTAGTTGAAAAAGAAAACATTTTAAAGAAACATAAAATTTATATCTAACACAATTTTTCTTTCATACACCGGACGGCTCTGAGTATTTATATACTTTTTGGCGTCAAGGTGTCCACTCCGAACTTTAGACACCAGTACCGAGAAATCTAAAGTTCGGAAGTTTCAGTGTATTTCAATTATAGGTGTTGACTCATCAATTGAAAGTGGTGGCCCCTCTTCAAAACGAAAGAAATACAGTGTCGAGAAATCTGCAATTGGTGTTTCTACAAACAGAAAAAGAACGTCAATTACTTTGGATAATGAAAATATTGATCAGGGTGACCACAAGTTTCAGTTTATCAATTTCCCTGACAATTTACTGACATTAAAATTACTTTCCCTGACAAAATTCTTTTTAAAGGAAAATATGAATGTTTACGGAAAATGGGTAAAATTGATGAATTTGAATAATTTCTAAAAATTACAATTATGTATAACTCTTCATGAATTCAATTATTTTTTACAATTTTCAACTAAACTTCATCTCTAAATCAATTAATTTAAATAATTTTCCAAAACTTCTTCTAGAATTCAATTATTTAAATACAAAAATTAAATTTTTTATAATAATTGTAATTATATATATATAAATATAATAGTTTTTCAATTTTGAATAATTTCCAAAAAATTAAAATTTGGTTAGATCTTTTAAGAATAATTGAATTTTTGAAAAATATAAATAAAAATTATCAAATTTTTGAAGAATTTTAATTATAAACAGGACCATAATTTCTCAAAAATTTTAATAACTCCAAAAAGTAAATTTTCATAAATTTTTATTTACATTGTTCGAAGATAATTGAATCTTAAAAAATTATTATAAAACAATTCTAATAATTAGTTTTTAAAAATGTTTTAATGTAATTTTTCGAAAATAATTGAATTCCTTAAAAAAAATTTTGTATAATTTAAAAAACTAATTACTTTTTTTTTAATTAAAAATTTTGAACTTGATTGTATTCTCCAAAATGTTAAAAAGAATTCTAAAATGTTATTATTTTTGTACGTATGGGGCAAAATTCCTCAATTGTCCTAACTTAAAATCGAAAGTCTTCAAATCGGGCTGATTTTTGCACAAACTTTAATACTATGGGAGAGATCTTATTAAGATATCTTATTAAGATATTTTATTAAAAATTGTAGGGGGGAGAGGGGGTTAAAGTTTTTGGTAACGTGTGGACAGTGGATTCTTTTAGCTAATATAGCTAAAATACAGTAGAGTGGCAAAATTTTGACCTATATGTTTTCGAAAGGTTTTTTCCTCCTCTTTCGAATGGTGTAAAAATTTTTTTTTTTAATTAACAATTTAACTAATTTTTTTCAAAATTAAAAATATTTTTCACTTTTTTTTAAAAAACGGCATTTTTTTTCTCTTTTTTTGCTTTAAAATAAAGCTTAATATGTGTACTTTCCATAACTGATTCTAAAAAAATGACGTTTTTTTTGTTTTCGAATTATTAATTAATTAATTAATAAAAATCAGTAAAAAATTACTAAAAAATGAAATATTTTTTAAGCAAGTAAACTTTTCTGAATTATGAGATTATCATCGTAAAGCTTACCTAATTCCGCATCCAACAAGTATAATTACACCTATTTTTACAAATAATTGTTAAATAAATAAATAATTGAAAATTTATTTATTAATTTTTTTAAAAAAAGGACATTTTTTTCTTCTTTCTTGCTTTAAAATAAAGCTCAATATGTGTACTTTCAATACTCGATTAGGAAAAAGTGCCGTTTTCTTTTGTGTTTCGAATAATTAATTAATTAATTAATTAATTAACTAATTAATAATAGTAAGAAATTACTAAAAAATTAAATATTTTTCAAGCAAATAAACTTTTCTTAATTATGAGCTTATCATCGTAAAGCTTACAAAATTCCGCACCCAGCAAGCATAAACTAAACTGTTTTTTATAAATAATTGTTAAATAAATAATTGATTATTTATTTATTCATTTCTGGAAAAATGACATTTTTTATTTTTATTCTTATTTCAAGCAAAGCTTAATATGTGTACTTTTAATACCCGATTAGGAAAAAATGACATTTTTCTTTTCGCATTAGTTATTAATTAATTAATAAAAATTATTTTAAAAAATTATTATTTTTCAAAGAAATAAACTTTTCTTAATTTTGCGCTTGCAAACGTAAAGCTTTCCAACTTCCGCACCCAACAAGTTTATTTTTAACTATTTTTTATAAACAATTTCAAAAAATTAATAAATAAATTTTCAATTATTTATTTATTTAACAATTATTTGTAAAAATAGGTGTAATTATACTTGTTGGATGCGGAATTAGGTAAGCTTTACGATGATAATCTCATAATTCAGAAAAGTTTACTTGCTTAAAAAATATTTCATTTTTTAGTAATTTTTTACTGATTTTTATTAATTAATTAATTAATAATTCGAAAACAAAAAAAAACGTCATTTTTCAGAATCAGTTAAGGAAAGTACACATATTAAGCTTTATTTTAAAGCAAAAAAAGAGAAAAAAAATGCCGTTTTTTAAAAAAAAGTGAAAAATATTTTTAATTTTGAAAAAAATTAGTTAAATTGTTAATTAAAAAAAAAAATTTTTACACCATTCGAAAGAGGAGGAAAAAACCTTTCGAAAACATATAGGTCAAAATTTTGTCCACTCTACTGTATTTTAGCTATATTAGCTAAAAGAATCCACTGTCCACACGTTACCAAAAACTTTAACCCCCTCTCCCCCCTACAATTTTTAATAAAATATCTTAATATTTTATGGGTAAAGTTCTCTCCCATAGTATTAAAGGTTGCGCAAAAATCAGCCCGATTTGAAGACTTTCGATTTTAAGTTAGGGCCGTACACATAATACGTCACGCGGCTAGGGGGAGGGAGGGGGTCTATGAATTGTGACTAAGTGTGACATGGGGGAGGGGGGGTGAACTCATGTGTTACGTCACAATCTTTTAAATTCAAAGATTATAAGAAATTATATGTGACAATGTCACTTTTTCTATATAAAACAAGTTAAAAATGCTGTAAACTATTTAATATCTATCACGTACCTGTTTAACATCTATTGGTATATTATTTATAATATGATAAATAATATATTCTCTTAATTTGAATCAGTTAAAAATCATGGTTTTTACTGACAATCAGCAGTGACTGACTTTTTGCTTCTGAATCAGTTAAAAATAACTGAAAAATTATCCACAAAACACCGAAATTTTTCTAAATATTGTATATTAAAGATTTGCTTGCATAATTCGAAAAATTTACTTGCAAAGTTTATTTTAAAATTGTGTAGGGTCAATTGGGGGTAAATGTAAACAAGGGGTAAATGTAAACAGTAGATGTTTCAGCTAAATTTACAAATTTAAAAATAAGTACGACGTCAATATTTTTACCTCAGCTCACCTACAAGATGTTCTGAGTATTGCCAATATTTTATTTTGACAATTGGCAATGCCATAGTGTAAGTTATTTTTTAATGCAAAAATGATTGAAAATCAAAATTTTACTGTTTCAGTATTTTGTCTCGCATTTTCATAAAAATAAATTTAAAAATCAAACAAAAATATGTCATTCTTCCTTATTAATGCCCTAACAAAAATTGACTTTGATTTTTGATTTTCGTCAATTTAGTTAATAAATAATTAAGTGTTTACATTTACCCCGAGAATTCGAAAACTCGGGGTAAATGTAAACAGAACTTTAACTACATTTTAAAAGAAAATAATTGAATAAATTTGCTTCTATTTCATAATTTCATTAATTTGGCAATGTAAATATTACATAGAAAAGAAAATTAGGTCCTCTTTGAAAAAAAAAATTTAAAAAAAAAAAAAAAAAATTTGATCAATTTTTAAAAATATTTTTAGGTTCATTCGCCATTTTGAAAATTTAAAATTTGACTTCAAATTCGTATTCAGCGACCTCAAAAACCCCCGAGTAGCCAGATTCAAGCAAATTTGATCAATTTTTAAAAATATTATTTTTAAGTTCATCCGCCATATTGGATCCACCATTTTGAAATTTAAAAATTCGATTTCTGATTCTTATTCAGCAACCTTGAAAACTTCTTTTTACCAAGTTGAATGAAAATCTATTAAAATTTGTTCAAGTTATTCAAGTTTTTACATTACTAATTTTGTAATGGTTGATTGTTTATTTATATGATACATTATCAGTCAACTGGTTGATTTACTATACATCTACGAAGAATTTTTTTCCAGTTTTTCCATCCCTTAAAACAGTAGTATACTTGAAATAACTTGTTTCTTAAACCTCGCTTAACTACAGTGGTGCTTACATTTACCCCGAATTTTAGGAAAATTTCAAAATCTCGGGGTGAATGTAAACAGTCAGTTTTAGGCGATTCAGGTGCATCAATATTTTTTTGTACCTCATAAAATTTTTCTAGGTAACACTATAGCAACAAGTTCATGCAAAAGAAATTCGTCCGTTTTACCTAACAAAAAAAACTAAGTTTTTTGGTGAAAGATACATATTCCGTTTACATTTACCCTAATTGACCCTAAAGATTTAAATTTCTCACTCCAATAAATGTCTATCGTCAAATTTTCTTAAAAATATAGCTTGAAAGTTTACTGAACATTTGAATTACATTTTCGACTATTATACTTTCGTGAAAATTTTCCTGAAAATTTAAGTTAAATTTTCAGGAAAGTTTCGCACTAAACACTTATTGAAGTGGGATATTTAAATCTTTACACAATCTTCACTAAACTTTGCATTTAAATATTTCGAAGCTTGCGAGTAAATCTTTAATAAATTGTTAGAACAGTTTCGGTGCTATGTACGTAGTTAAACGTGACTAATTTGAATTAATAAAAAAAAATTGTATTGAAACATCAATTATTTTTAACTAATTGTCAGAAAAAATATTACTATTTGAATTAGTGTCTGATTTTTTGCTTTTAAATCAGTTATTTTTAACTGATTCAATAATTTAGAGTGTATAGGATATAATATATAATGTCCAATGTATAAAATTTACAGTGAAATTTACGTGTGTGACGTGACGTAGGGGGAGGGGGGGGGGTTCAAGATTTGTGAAGAAGTGTGACATAGGGGAGGGAGGGGTTAAAAATGGTCAAAAATCGCGTGACGTATTATGTGTACGGCCCCTTAGGACAATTGAGGAATTTTGCCCCGTATGTATTTAAATTTTTGGAATTATGTAATTGAAAATACTGAAAACATTGAATTATAAAAAATTAGAAGCTAATTTTCATTAACTTTCATTTTTAGATTTACCTTTAAAGATTTTTCATTAAAATTTTTGATATTTCAATTATTTTCAAAATTTGCAATTAAAATTCTTCAAAAATTGATTTTTAAAAATTGTAAATAAATACTTGTAATGTTTGGAAGAAAAGTCAAAAAAATTCCCAATTTTCTTAATTTCCCTGACAAAAATTTTTTTCCTGACATTTCCCTGACTTTACTGACAAAAAATTTTTTTCCTGACATTTCCCTGACTTTACTGACAAAAATTTTGTTTCACTGACATTTCCCTGACTTTACTGACTTTACTGACATGTGGCCACCCTGATTGATAAACCGTTGCATCATAAAGTGAAAAGAAGATTGGAATTAATGGGAACAGAAAAGCATACGGTTAAAGTTTGTTTGGGAAAATTATGTAAATCAGCAAAAATCGAATTGAAGAAGATGCAAAGGTTGTTTCATCAATGATGTATGAGGCAACAACAATGGCATTATTCGGCCTATATGAAAAAACGAATGTTGAAAATGTTGAAAATTTCCCATCATTGTTGGAGAAATGGACCAACAATGGTCCCGACTTTCTGTCATTTTTAATATCATTAAAGCAGAAAGTAAAAACGCAACGTAAAGTAACTGAACAGGATGCAAAAATAAATACAATGGTCAACGAATATAAAGAATTAAGGAATGACATTCCACTTTATGAGGGAGAATATAAAACTGCAATAATTCAGGAGGCAGCTTTAGTGTTAAATCGAAACTTTAAAACAAATTTCACGACGCATGCAGCATCACGATTAAGAAGATATTTGCAGCTATTAATGGAAATTGAAGACGAAGAAAAAAATCATATGGAAGAAGATGAAATTCAAGAAATTTGTTTAGTTTACCGTTTCAATAATGATAATGATGAAAAAATAAAAATTACAAGTTTTAAAAATAGCATTAAAAATGAACAAAGAAAAGAATTTCAAAAATTTCAAAAATCTCAAAAACTATTTCCAGATAAAATGCGCGAAAAAAAACATCAGACTATTGTGATGAAAGATATGTTCGACAGGAAAAATATCGCAAACATTGCGATAAAGTCTATTATAAAAAAGGCCAAGAAGGCGAAGAAAAAAATCGAAACAGAAAAAAAGAAGAAAAAGAGAAGAATAAGGAAAAAAAGAATTTTCGAAAAAGAAGGCCTTCATTTTATAAACAATCTGTTGCTGCTTTAAATCTCCTGCTGCAAGAAAATCAATGTCAAGTGAAAGGATTCCCTATTGATTTACTACTGAAAAAGGATGATGATGATGGAAGAAAATTGGACTTTACAAAATTGACAAAAGATAAAGAATGGCATAAATTTGTGCCATTTTTCATTATGATTCAACAAGAATTTCATGATAAAAAGAAGAAGAATTTCACGTTAATTCCACAAATTTCATTAGGCGTGAAGCATGTCGTTTATACAAATACTGCTTTAAAAGATTTGCAAATGGCAAGTGTTATTCAAGAAATTAAAGAAAAAAGGCAATTTTACAAAAAAAGAAAAAAAAATCAGGAACGAATAAGGATCCTCTTCAAAGAGCAGTTGATAAAATGGACGATGAAATGAAGCGCTTAAGAGCCCGGTAAGAAGCGTAGAATAGAAAAGAATTCAATTTTCAAAAAATATGCTTGAAAACGAAAATTTTGAATTATTCTGAATACGCGAATTTACCTCGAAGCTCTATTCCACGGGAACCATCAAAATTTTAGAAAAATCAATTCTTCTCTATTGCTCACGTCGATTTGCAGATAGAAAAGAATCCAAATTTTCTATTTTTCTTAATGCGCCAAGTTTTATGGTATTAAAAGTTCTTGAAAAAAATATGGAGTTCTATTCTTTTGAATTGACTGGATTGGCTTCTAACGATTCTAGGTAGTCAATTCAAAAGAATAGAATGATCGACGAGTAAATATGAAATGTTTATTCTTCTCAATAGACTGCTTCGAATTTCAGAAGCGCATTAAAAGGAATACAACTTTTGACAAACAATTTTGAAAAGCCTAATCTTTCCAATTGTCTGTAGGAGCTCCTCTAGTTATTGTCTTAAAATAAAACGCAATGACAGTCATGTTTCGCGTCGTGTGAATTTCATTGTAATTTCAGTGCTAAACTATTAAAATTAATTATTAAAACTAGTGAAAATATGGTTAAAAAACGCAATGTGCTTACGATGAAATATAAAATGATACTGAAAGGAATTTTCATGTGTTCAATGTTTAACGTCAGGTTTTGAAACCTAACCTCACTTTCTAGTGGAATCTTGAGTGGTAGTGAGTCAATTCAGTGGAATAGAAATTTCTACTGATTTGCTGTAGATTCTGATTCTTTTGAATGCGCGTTTCATATTTTTGTGAAGTCAATTCAGAAAAATAGATTCTCTTGAAATTTTGGTGGTTCCCGTGGAATAGAGCTCCGAGGTAAATTCGCCTATTAAGAAGAATCCAACTTTTGAATTCTTTTCAATTCTACGCTTCTTACCGGGAGAAATGAACAATGAAGATAAAGGTGGAATTCAATGTTCAACTTTAAATAAATCCAAAGAGGTCGAAAATTAAAGAATGGTGGTAAATTTTCTGGTACAATAACGACAAATAATGGTGTGGACGTGTCAGTAATTTTTGATTTACCCACAAAACATGTTGTGAAATCAAAGATGGAAGTTGGAAGTTACAAAAAATTTTGTGGGTTTGATCCTGGTGCGAGGGCGACCATGGCTGGCGTCAGTAGAGAAAACGATCCTAATCCAACAACTAATGTAAAAAAGGATTCATCTATTTACATTGGTAGTTGGATGATGAGATGGCAGATGGGCGACTACAGAAGAAGAGAATTAATGAAAAAAATGTATAGACATGCAAAAATATTACAAGCAACTTGCTGAGGATCCATTGATAGAAAATTTTTGCATGACTAATCCTCGAGATCGCCATCGCATAACAAAATATAGAATACATCTTTTAAAAAATTTCCAAGCAATTCATCAAAAAAGATCCGTAACGCGTTTACAAATAGATCAATATGCAGCACAAAAGCGACAAGTTGATCAACTTGTAAATTGGATAGTATGTGATACAAAGAAGAAACCCTGTTTCGTTGCTATTGGTGGAGCAGAAATACCTAATTTTATCAAGGGATACACTAAAGCTCCTTCGAAACGTATTCAACAAACTCTTTTCCAAAGATCAGAAGAATTAGGAAAAGATAAATTGCAAGTCGTGAAAGTAAATGAGTTTAATACAACAAAAATGTGTAGTCGCTGTGTGAAACCACTTAAAATATCAAAAAGTCCCTATCGGTACACTTATTGTGTGAAATGCAAAACAACGTGGGAAAAAGACGTAAATGCAGGGAGTAATATTCTTAATCTTCCACTTGTTCAAGAGAAAATCATACCAAAGGATTCCATAAAAAATCACCATCTATTTCGGATCAAGAATGATGACATTGAACATGAGGCTGCAGAATTGCAGAAATAATTTTTCCCATCACTTTCAACATTCATTTTTAAATGTAAGTTTTTTAAATTTATATTTAAAAAATAGTTAAAAAATAGTTTTTTTATGAAAAACATTAAAAAATTTAATTAATTTGTAATTATTTTCTCTTTTTCAGCACTAAGTAAATCTCTTGAAGTCTTGAATGACATTGAAAAGGAGGAACCTCGACAACCGGAAAAACAATTTTCAACGATGGACAATATACTGCTTAATTGTGGAAATAATTTAACAAAAACATTATTCGGTCCTGGTGGTGATGGCTGTTATGCCATTGTACATACCGGGGATCTCTTACGAGATCAGAACCAGCTGTAAAAGGCATACCAGGTTTTTTAAGAAATTAAAAAACATGCTACTTCTTTTATTGATTATTGTTTGAATTTTTCAAATTTTTTATAAAAACAAAAGCACGTTTGTGTTTTTTTATAAATTAAAATAATCAATAATAAGAGGGGAAGTAATTTTGTAAAAGACATTTATTTCTTCAAATTAAAATCATTTTTATCTTTTTTACTTATAATTTAGTTTCAGTTAACCGGTGTAATTTTTAAATTTTAATTTTTTCAAAACATTTTAACTTTATTCAACATTTCACTGTAATTTTAATCTTTGTTTTTTAACAATTTCAATTTCTTCTTTTACAATATTACCTTCTAATCAGAGGTATCCTTACCAAACACTGCGCTTGCACTACAAAAATGATCTTATTGGCGAAATGAACCGCGCATTTTTAAAACGTTTTATATTATACATATAAAGTACTTTAGATGGACAAGTTTTATTCTACAAATAGAAGCATTTTTGTAGCGCAAGCGCAGTTGCGTTTGGTGAGGGTACCTGGCAGCTCTGGTACAAACATGACTATGGTTACACCTCAAACGCTTCAAGTAAACAAAAAACGAAAATAGCTTCATAAATAAATAAACCACAAAAGTATTTTGTAGCACAGTGAGAAAAAACTAACAAAAAATATTCGCAAATTGATCTCATTTTCATTTTTCATGAAAATTCAAAGTCAATATTAAAACAAAAATCAAATTATTATAAAAAGAATAACAAAAATCCAAAACAAAATTATCTTGAGGCTGTTATAAACCATTTCGCAATAAGATAACGAATTTATTGATAAATAATAATTAAAATAAATTAAATAATGCACAAAAAACAATTATTTTCACCATAGAAAACATATAAATAGGTTAATTTTTTGTTTTGCTTTTGTAAATTTGAAAAACATTCCCCATTCGTTTTAATGTTAAGTTTATTTCGACATTTTAAGATGTATGGACAATTATTACATAATAATTTTATATAATGAGATTTCTCTTGGTGGTATTATTACTTTTTTTGTCCCCCACTCGCGTTCTCAGCTCTCCTAAAATCTTATAGAACACCTCTTTCACAGAAAAAAAAATGAAATAACGTGCGTTCTTGATTATTAGTTTATCAATTGAATGTTATTATTTATTTATTTTTTTTTGTTTCTTTATCGTTATCGATATCATAATTATTACATTACCATTAATCATTATATATTACGATACAACGCTATAATTAAATTTCCCCCTTGTTTACTTGTTCGTGAATTTTGACATAATGATAGAAAGTACATTACAATGCAGTGTATTTAGCGAATATTTTGTTCGGTAATGGAATTCTCTTTTTTTGGTTCCTTCTTCACGAACACTTTGGTCGCTTTTATTATTATTTTATTATTATTTTTCTTATATAACCCTCTTGATTTTCCTATCTTTTTTTTATTATTATTATTATTATTATCGTCGGAGAAGGTAACTCGAAAAGGGGATAAAACAATTTTTAAAACAGTTTTCTTTTTTACTTTTTTCGAACCTTTTCATGAGTTACCGGGTGTGAATTATTATTTTTGTTTGTTTGTTCTAGAAAGAACAATACCGACTCGTTTTTAGCGCAATTTGCTTTAAAAAGCTGCCCACCAGCAGGTCTTATAACTTTTTTTTTTGGTTTTGTTTCCATAACGCTTACGCGCTCTCGAGGAAGTTCAAATACTTCTCTTTAGATTAACGAGATTTTTCTAAATTGTAAATATCAATAGTTGTCACGATTTTGGTTTTTTTTAAACTCTCGTTTCAATTTCAATAATTCGCAAACTTCTGAAAAATTTCGAATAGAGAAACTAACGTCAATTCCTAATTCGACAAAAATAGAGATTTTTTTTTAATAACAGAATTTTTCTTTAAATTAAATGAATTAGATCAAGTAAACATGGTTTCGCTTTGAGCTTTATCGAAACTATGTTTATTTTATTAACAAAATAGCCAATCGGGAAAATTTTTCTTTTCGGTTACCATGGTGACGTGAGAACGACAAAGAAGGAAGTATTCTACTTCTTTGTTACTTTTATACGTTACCATGATGAACGCAACAGTGTGAATCACCCCTAAGGGGAAACATAACCTTAAAAAATACAGAAGTTTTTTGAATCAGTCACTCGTGACCGTCACACAGTAATAAATGTGAAAATCCAGCAATCGTGAATTTTTTTTACGTCTAGATTTTCGCATTTTGTAATCGTAAATGCATTCAAGCAGCATTATCTCGTTGCCACTTTTTTTAGTAAACTTAAAAAATAAGCGCGAACGGTCCCATTTTCTTTTTTGCTAAAGGAGGTTTTTTTTTCAAAAGTTGTATAAACGTGTTTACGCTCCCTTTTCAATTAAATTTCTTTTTCATCCCTTCGACTATGTGACTAGAGACACGATATAGGTACTTAGGTACGACTTAGGTGTATAGCAATTTGTATACTTAGACCTTAGCATTTTTCCCACCCTTTAATGATAACTCTTCGAGAGTTTTTATATTTTTTTTCTTGCGTTAAGTTATAATTTTACAACAATATGGCAACCGGAATAAGAATATTGGTTATCTCAGAAAAAAAAAGATTCAATCCTGTTCATAAAATTTCCCCTTTTTTTTGCAATATATTTTTTCAAGAACTTCCAAAATGTCTACTAGTGGAAAAATTGAAACTGGACAGTGAATCTTCATTTTTCATTTCCTGGGGAATATAATACTAACGGTACTAATACAATAAAAAGTACAATTAACAGGACTAAAATACGTCGTCATTCATTGAAATTAACTTATTTTTCCCATTTTCTCCGATAATTTTTTAACCCTTTTTTTTATTCAGATTTCAAATCAAAGATTCTAGATACATTGTTCGAATGAAGAAAAAAAAATGTCATGAATGAGTTAGTGACGATCGTGTTGCAATTTTCTTTTCTCTAAACTACAAATAAGATTTTTACGACGTGACATCAATATCGAAAGCAAGGAAATCGACGTACAAATGTCACACCTCATACAGATCGCAAAAGGGACGTAAGTCATATCGAAGAAAAATTGTTTTGGTGGGAAACTTGAAAAGACAAATTCTGACTTTCATTGGAGAGTATGTATATATATATATATATATATATATATATATATATGTGTGTGATTGCGTTGTATGAAAAAACTAGTTAAACGGGAATTCGACTAGACATGGAATTATATATTTTTTTATTAAAAAATTTTTTTTAAGAACTAAGACGACCTATCTACACGAAGAGGTTTAGGAGAAGGGAGGTGCTGAGTGCAAAAATTGGATATTCGGTTTATAAGAGAAATATTAATCGCAGTAGAAAATGTACATTTCTCGGTGATGATCGCAGGACTTACGACTCTTTTGTTTTTTTTATATTTTTTTTTATAATAGTACGTACAAAATCACACGTTAGCATGGTTCGCATATTACACTGCCAATTTTTATTTTGCCCCCTAGAATGTCACTGGATTATTTTTATCATTTTTTTCGCCAAGTATACACAGAAACATTACTTAGCTTCTTAATTTTAAATTGTTAATTATATTTATAAGTAATAACGCAGTAAACCGTAGACTTAGAATTATTTTCTCATTCTTATCACTTTCACTCGATTTTCCTTTCACGCAAAATCACATTCTCGCTAATAATCTTTCTATTCCTCGTTTTTTCTTCCTTTTTTCTTCTTTTTTAACAACTCAAGTTATATTCTCAGCGTTCTGATATCTCTCAACAGATTCGTAATTGACTATTACAATTTTCTATTTATCTCAGCACTTTCTTTTTTTCAATCGTCTCGAGATTAATTATAAATTCTGAATATTAAAGATCAAATCCAAGAAGAGAAAATTGTAATAATCAATCGACGAGTTGTCACTATCTAGATTAAATTTTTTTATACATTTTTATCCAGCCTGTTTTTTCAAAAAAAAAAAGAAAAGAAAAGTTTGAAAGCAGTTTTGTCGACTAGAAATTGAAAGGCGTCGACATTACAATCGATTGTCCTGTGGGATGAAAAATTAGAACAATGAAAGATAAATTTTTCTCTTTCTTTTATTTTTCGTAATCCACAAGGAATCGAGTGTCGAGCATTCGCAGTCACCTTGACTAATTAAATTATCTCATGCACATTGGCACGCACTATTTGGTTCATTTCTTTGTATTTTTCACGTTTTTATATAAATTATTTTTTTTTAGTTCTATCGTAGTTTGTTCACTAAAATGATTCGCGGCTTTTTTCCATTTAGCCTCTAATCGCGATCAATTCTTCTATTCTTTCCTGTTTACCCGAACGCTCGCGATTCATTGTCACAACATTTATATGGCATTCAGCTGATTAAAAAATAATTTACGAAAACTTCATTATTTCGTAGGACTGACTTTTTTTACCTCGTAAAATATATAAGGGAAAAACACTTTCACTTTAAATATTTTTAATTAAACATTCTCCCGAGCTTATAAAAACAATTATTTTTGAAATTAAATCTGATATGGGAAATTTAAAAAAATTTTCCAGCCATTCCTGCAAAATAATGAAATAAAGCTAAATTAAAATTTCATAGTTTGCAAAAATTGTTTAATAGTTGTGCGCAATAAAAAAATGACGAATAATGTTAAAAAATTGTACGTCTATTTTGTGAGGTCCCATGTGAGCTTTGTTTTCTTGTCTCGTACAATTTTCACTTATTTTTTTTTTTATTCTTTTTCTCTCACAGATATTATTCGGTAAAATTCATTCACGCAACAAAAAAAAAAAAAAAAAAAAAATTCTCACTCTTCGTACCTGCCATCAAAAAAGTCTTCTTTCCTCTTTTTATGCTTTCGAAAGTGTTGACAAATAAAATATTGTCGACACATTCATAAAACGAGAAAAATTAATGTAACATATATAGAAAAATAGGATCTCAGGGATGTCCGGCGATCGGAAATCGCTCGTGAGTCTGCGTGTGGGTGCATTTTCATTTTTTCTTTTTATACTTTTCTTCCCCTTTTTTGTGTGCGTGATAATTTATAACAAAAATATGTATTTTGTGCGCAATGAAAAATCGTTATATATATTTTTATTTTCGAAAAAATTGATTATTTTCAATGCGACGCAAGGGAGGTGAAAACTTTTCTTTTTTCTACTTTTGTTTATTGGCGAAATGATTTTAAATTTCAGCTAATATTAGTGAATTTTATTTTATTATCAACATTTTATTATCAATATTAATTTTCTTCATTCATTTTTATGAATCCGGCAAATGATTTTTTGATTAAGTAAGAGAAATCGAAAAAAGACGAGAAATTAAAAAAATTTCAAATATCCAAATTTTTTAAAAATTAATGTAATTAATTAATCAATACTTTATTCTTTCAATCGAAATATAAAATCATTTATAAAAGCAAACTCGAATTTGAAAAATATTCACCTCAATATGTAAAATTTTAAAAAATTAGGAAAATACAAAAAAAATTAATTTAGAAAAAAATCGTTTTTCTTGAATTAATTTTCTTTTCGGTAAAAAGTAAAATATTACAAAAAAAACTTACTCCTTGCGTCTTGCTTCATTTTCACCAAAAAAAGACGATTTTCGTGCCGTATTTTGTGCAGATTAGAAGTAAAAATGGTGCGTTTACATCCACTTGACTTTTTTTTAAATGCGATGAGAAATGTTTATAGAAGAAAAATTTGTGCCATTTTCTTTTAAGTGAAATTTTTTGCAGAGTCTCGACTTGCGCCTGCCGATGGAGAACCCTGATCCATTTTCTCTTCTTTTTATTTGAATTAAATTTAATTTTAATTAAATATCTTCGTCAATTTGCAATGAAAGATTTAAAAAAAAACTCAACGTTCGTGAGAGGTTTTCTTTTCTTCTTTATTTAATTTATTCTTTTTAAAAATTATGTTTACAACTAATTTATGTTTTAACTTTTAAATGTTTCTTGAATTACTTCTTAAATTTCCTTTAAATTCGTTTATTGCCTTGGAATTTATTTTATTCCTCTCTTTATTCTCTGATTCTCTCTTTCTTTCTCTCTAGAATTTTTTCTTATATTCTACAAAAATTTCCAAATTCTTCAAATCATTTTCTTTTTATCACTTCGAATTTAAAGATAAATGAATTTCTTATGTGCTTATTTTTAATCTTTTTATAGATTTTCAATTTTTTTCGCCGGAATTTTTCTTGAATTCTTGAATTTTTTTTTATTATTATTTATTAATTTTTACTTTTTGCAATTATGAATGTTTAGAAATTTCTAAATGTAAATTGAATGTTTAAAAATTCCATTATTGTGAATTTTTTCCTTTATTGAAATTTTTTACTCCAGATTGTAATTATTTTTCTTATTTATAATAAAGTTTTAATTTTTCCCTCTTTTCGTTTAATTTATAAATTCCTTCTTTCTTTTCTTGCTTCATTTCTTGTTACGTTATGTTTTATTCTCTTTTACTTTTCTTCTTTTTTTTCTATCGAATATCGAAAAACAAATTTTACTTTTCGTCCCGTAATTTTCCTCTTCTCTTCTTTTCTTTCCATCAAATTCACATAATATCCAATTAATTTTCAAAACACAATTTTTTAATTTACACTTAATTATTCACTATACACGTAATTTTTTTATTCACTTATTAGTTTCAAACTTTTCAATTTGTCTCGTATTTTTCAAATTTGTTTTTTTTCTCTTTTCTTGTCTCTTTTGGTTTCTCAATTTTTTTTGTCAATTATCTTCAACTTTCATTCACTTAATTTAATTGTTAACTTATTGAAATTTCTTAAAATCGAATAATTTAAATTATTCCTCATTTTCATAACTTTTTTTTATTTTTCAAATATATTTTCATCTCTAAACTTTATTATTCCTCTAAACATCGATTTTTTTGCGTAAATTAGTATTTACTTCTCGTAATAAAGTATAGAAATTTTTTTGCAATTTTTCGCCTCGTTTTTGTTTTTATTCACAATAATTGGATAATAATTTGTTTTTCAAAGTATAGAATTAAATTCATTTTGAAAATTCCTTTCTTCTTTCTCAAAAATTTGAATAACTTGCATAGACATTAATAATTGAACATTAATTTCAGGTGCGTTTTTTTCTGTAAAATTCCTTTTTAATAATGAAGCCGAAAGTTTTAGTTCTTCTTTTTTTCTCTCCCTGTTTTGAAAAAAAGAAATTTCATTCCGAGAGATCAGATCAGTGTTTTATTTTTATTTATTTATTTGGTTTTTTAAGCGTTTCGAAGTATCACCTCGTGCCAGTGGCTCCAGTCCTCTGGCATGATTCCGTTTTTTCTTCTTTGCTGGTAAATACATTTTTTATTCTTGACATCTTCGAGCGGTGAGAAGATTATTTATTTTCTTTGTTATTTTCTTCGGGAAATTTAAAAATCTGAAATCAGAATATGAAAAATTTGAACAGGCTTCCGACTCGGAGAAAAACGTTGTCGTTATTTTATCATCATCATCATCATTATCATTTATAATCGTCATTGTCATAACTCGTCCGGCAGCTTCAACTTCTTGTTTCGTGTTCGCGCTTGATATTGTGTATATAGAATTAACCTAATAGAGACCGCAACCACGCAAATTGTTCGCGATAATCACGTCTGTGACTGCGTCGAACACGAATTGAATATTATTTGTGTCGGTGGCGCATGTCATATGGCAGTAAATCTCCTTCGAAGTCGATTTGTTCTTCGCCTCGAACTGCGCTTGGATGTAGGCTGCGGCTTCGCCATACTCCTGTGCGCCTGAAAAAATTTACAAATTTAGTTATTAATTTTCAACAACGAACATTTATTTCCTCATTTTTTATTCCCTCAATAAAAATTCTATTTTATTTTGTTCTCGATTTTCATTTTTTATTTTATAATTCAAATTTTAATTAATTCACATAATTTGGTCGCGTTTATTAATAAAAAAAATAAAAAAGAAATAAAATAAATTTAACGAAAATGAAATGAAATGAAATTGGAAAATAAATTCAAAACGAAAAATATATTGAAGCAATAAATTTTGAACGAAAGAAGAAAAAATTAAAAAATACATAAAATAAAAAATTAAAAAATAAGTAAAAGCAAAAATAAAAGAAAATTGGAAAATAAAAAAAATTAATGACTAAAATAAAAAATAAATAGAAATTTGTTAAAACGAAAAATAAATAAAAATTTAAAAAAATAAATTACTCTTTCTTGAATATAAGAAAACGGAAAAACAGAAAATAAAGAGGTTAGTTAAAATGCTTTGTTTATTTAAATCGTCAGGCAAAATGCATTATTCTCTCATCGTTTTTCACTGGAATCGGTTTATCTTTTATTGACAGAAAAGAAATTTGTCTTGCGGGTGTATCGAAAGCGCTAATTTTGAAATATCTCCCATCCAATTAATAACAAAATCATCATTATTTTCTCAACAATTCGTAATATTTTCTTATCGCTAAGCAGAAATTATTTTAATAAAATCGTCGAGAAAAAAAGAAAACGACACGTAAGACTAAAAAACTTTTCAAGAAATGAATAAAAATCGTAAAATACAAATTAAAATTTTTTAAAACTGAATAAATGTCTTCATATATAGATAATAGTAATAAAAGTAAAAATGAAAAAAGAAATAAATGAACAAATAAAAATAAATTAATTAACAAAAAATACAATATAAATGAAAAATAAGAATAAAAATAAATACCAATTTACAGAAAATTTTTTTTTGAAAAATTATTTAATTAGATAGGTAATTAATTTGCTAACAAGTATTTTTCAAATAAAAATTCTTCAATTTATTTATTTAAGTACAGGGTTGCAACAAAAAAATTTTGATTTTCCCTATAATTACCAGACAGAATTTTGCCTTTTTTCTGATCAGTATAAAAAAAATAATTCAAGATTGAGTTGAAATTATAAAAAAAGATCATTTTTAGAAGCAAAAATTTATGATTTAAAACTTTTAGGATTACCTACATATTTTAAAAATAAAATTATTTACTGTTACGAACTTTGCACGATTATTTTCAAAAATATCAAAAAAGTACAGTTTTTATAGATTGAATTTTAGAAAATTTCAATTATTTCAAAAATTTTAATCACCTGTTTATAAAAATTCAATTATCTTTAAAAAATGGAACTGAAATATTTGCAAATTTTTCAGAATTAAAAATAAAATTATTCAAAACATCAATTTTTTTTTAATTATAAAATCAAATCTATTTAAAATTAAATTAATTACAGGACAAGAATTCCAATCCAAAAACTCAAAGAAAAAAAAGTCCAAAGTACAAAAAATCCAAAATAAAAATGTCTAAAGTTAAAAAATCCAAAATAAATATAAACGTCCAAAATAAATAATGAAACATGTGAAAAAGCCATGTTTTTATTTTTTACGCTATAAAATCGGAATTTAAAATGTTAATTTTAAAAAAGGAAGGTTTTAATTATTTACAGAAATAATAAAATTCTTCAGAAAAATTAAATTATTTTCATAAATACAAAATTTTTCACACAAAAATTTAATTATTTTCATAAATAAAAAAAATTTCTAGAAAAATTGCAATTATTCTATCAAATTTTTAAAACAATTATTCCAAGAAATACAATAATTTTCAACAATTTTGATAAAATTCTTTACAAAAATTCAATTATTTTTTTCAATATAGGATTCCAATTAAATTACTCGATTAATTTAATTATTTTCAGAAATTTAAAATGTTAAGTTTACCTACTTTCGATTCACAGTCATCGAAATGAGCAACTAAAAAAAGGACAATTTCATTCCAGACAACCATTTAAATTTTTATAACTCAATTTTTTTCATTGGATTTTTAATTTATTTGGACTTTTTAAACAGGACAAAAAATCCAAAAAATAAGTCCAAAGTAAAACTATCTTTTTTTACTTTTTTGGATTTCATTTTCTTTGGATTTTTTGGTTTAGACTTTTTGTTTTGAACTTCTTGTCCGGATACCAATTAAATTAGTAATTATTATTTATTTTTTTATACATAATTTTATAAGTTTTTTTATAATTAAATTATTAATTCAATTGTTTTAGATGCAATTGGGACTCTACAAAATTAAATTATTTTTCAATTATTAAAATAAAATTCTTGAAAATTTCATTTTTTAAATCTAATGATATTCTTTATCAAATTTAATTATTTGCAATTTAAGTTCACAAAATTTTAAATGGATAATTCTTTAATAATTGTTTTTTTTTCAAATTCGACGAGAATTCGCAATTTTTTTTTAATTTTTCAAAAATGTTTACACCAAAAACCAGAATTTTTGTAATAATTTAAAAATTTGTATATTTTTTATAAAATTCCCTGATTTTTCTGACTCGTGGCAACCCTGCATTAAATAACAAGTATGTTTCTAAATTATTTTATTTATTTATTTATTTTATTTATTGTAGATTTATTTTATTTTTTTACTTGTTTTATTTATTTTACTTATTTTACTTATTTTATTAACCTCCATTAAAATAGAATATAAAAAGAGAATCAAATTTATTTTAAAATTCTAAAGAAAATTATTTTTAAATACTCAAAATAAATGAAGCGAAAAAGAAAATAGAATGTATAGAAATAAATCAGAGAGACTTACCAGCGTATTCGGGGAAGCAAATGGTGAGAGGAGATTTGCGAATCTTTTCTTCGAAAAGATCCTTTTTATTCAAAAAGAGGATGATCGACGTGTCTGTGAACCATTTGTTGTTGCAGATTGAGTCGAAAAGCTTCAAACTTTCTTGCATTCGATTCTGTGTTCGGAAAAAAGAAAACTTGTTAAAAACATTTAACAATCAATGGAATCTCGTCTTCGTTTAATTCAACCCAAGAACGTATCGTCTTTTCCTCTTTTTTTATAACAAATAAAATATTATACATAATAAATACACAACAATAATAATAAAAATAATAATAATAATAATAAAAATAATAATAATACCTAAAAATAATAATAATAAAAATAATAATAATAATAATAACATACATACATAATAACAGAAAAGAAAATACGTTCGAGGGTTAAAAAAATTATTAAAGCAACTTGCCATAAATATAGTTTAATCAATATATTAAAAAGTACAAAAAATTAAATTTTACTGTATAGTTTAATACAATAATTTTTTAATTTTTAATTTTTCTTTTTTGCTTTTTCTATTCTTTATTTTTGCTTTCATTTTTTTTTCGCTTTTCTATTTATTTAATTTTTTTTTTTGGTCTCATAAAGAAGAAAAATGATTTGAAACAAAGGCAAAGGGGGGAATTTTCTATTTATTTTTATAATATGCAATATTCCACTCGTATATATTTCGTTTTAAGGAAGTTAAATGAGAAAATATTTCAAATTCTGACACGAAATGACAAAAGATTCCCTTGGGGTCAATTGCCTTTTTGACACGGTAATAAAAATACGTGCTTGTCATAAAATGTGCATTAAATTAAGATCAAAATTAAAGCGACCCACGTGCAGTGACCCAAACAATTGATCTCTTCTTTCTTTTTATACACACGTGTAAAAAAAATTCGAATCATTCTCTAATTTTTCTTTCTTCACTCTACTTTTTCAATGTTATTCCAATTTTTTCTTCTTATTCTATATTTGCATTTTTTCAAAGTTTATTTGTCACTAAATTTTAAATTAAATCATTAAATTTTTTAATTGGTACATTAATAAATTAACTGTAATTAGAAAATTAGGAATTTTTTTCACAATTTTAATTATTAAATTGCAAACGTTTTTACAAGTTGCAAAATTTTTTTTTACAATTTCAATTATTAAATTGCAAATTTTCTTTTTCAATTTTTTTTCACTATTTTAATTATAGAATTACAAAATTTTTTTAACTTTAATTTACTTTAATTGAGGGTCCGGATGTATCAATTTTTTTATTAAATAAACATTCCTATATGCTTTTATTTAAAATTTATATTTATTTATTCTATATATTTTTATTTGAAGAAAAGTAATTTTTCCTACACTGTGCCATCTTAAAAATAAATAAATGATTTTTTTAGTTAAAAATCAAAAATTACAAAATTTTCTGCTATTTACATTTTTCATTTTTTGGAAAAAAATAATTTGTCCAGATTCTTGTTTTGATTGTGTATATAGCAACAATTAAAATCAAGAATGGGAGTTGTAGTTGTGCCAGGAGTTGTGCACTTTGAATTTAACGAGAGCCATTTATTTCTTGAGCTGTGAAATAGATAGGTGGCATATGTAACTAAACTCGTTGACACTGTTAATCGCTGCCACCTGTTTTGTGAGTTCCCATCTAAAGTTCCCTTTTCCGGCATAATCTACAATTCGTTTCACACACGAAAAGATTTATTTTCTTATTTTTTCTCACACATTTTTCTCAAAGTAATTTTTTCTTTATTCGAAAATTTTCCCTCAAATAAAAGAAAAGAAGATTTTTATAACTAATATTATATCAATTCGGTAAAATTTTGTTTGTTTGAAATAACAAAAAAAAATTAATTTTCAAAATCAAGGGACTAAAATGACAATTTTTAACACTAGGGAGTAAATTGACTCTTTTCTCAATTCTAGTAAATTTTTAGCATATATTTTTTTCAATTTTAAGAAGTAAATTGTCTATTGTAATGGATAAAATTGTTTTTTTAACTCTAGGTAGAAAAAATAGTGTTCTATTTTAATGCAAGGGAGTAAATCGTCACTTTAAATTCTAAAGGCTGAAGTGGACATTTTCAACTCTTCGATGCTTAATTTATTTATTTATCAAGTTATTTATAAAAAATATATAAATAAATATTCAAATGGTTATTAACAAATAAGTTTATTTATTTATATATTTATTTATTTATTCATTCATTCATTCATTTATTTATTTATTTATATATTTATTTATTTAAAAAAAATTTTTTTAATTTTCAAAAAAAATTCAGAAACGAAATACGTACAAAATTAAAATATATTTAAATAAATATTCAAATGTTTATTAACAAATTAGTTTATTTATTAGAAAACAAATTTTTTAATTCTAAAAAAAAAAATTCCAGAACGTAATACGTACAAAATTAAAATATGCAAAGATTGTAAATCGCAAATCCTTGAAATTATAAATGAAGTTTTTCTTCTCTTTTTTTAATTCTAATTTTTTTTCTCCATTTTTCGAAAAATCCTTTGAATTTGTTTCAAGGAATTCTCTGAATAATTTAGAAAATGCGATTTACAATGCAATTTAATATTAAATTGTCCACTTTTCAAAGAATTTACACACAAGTTTTATGAAAATTTCTCTCCAAGTTTTCTGAAAACTTTAAAAATTCCACTTCTGAAAATTACGCTTCTTTTAATTTGACATTTTGAATATATAGAGGAAAGAAAAAAAAGAAAATTCAAGTCTTCACCCTTGAAAAATAACTTTTCAAAAAACTCGATAATGAGAAAATGTAAAATTGAAAATTTTTGCAAACTATAAGAAGGAAAAAAAACTTTATTTTTTGAGTCGAACGTAATAAATTTTGCTCTTTAATAAATATTTCATTTTTTCTTCTTTATCTGAAATATTTTCTCTCCTTCTGTAAAAAAGGTTGATTTAAAAATTTTAAAAAGTTAAATATTTGTAATTAAAAATTAAAAACTTGTGATTAAAAGTTAAAAATTTGCAATTAAATATTAAAAAAGTGACAAGTTAAAAATTTGCAATTAAAAATTTTAAAATTTTAAATATATAGATATATCTCAAAGTGAATTAATTTTTAAAAAATTCGAAAGCAAAAGAAAAAGTTTATCAAATATTAAAGAGAAAATATTTAATTTACAAGCCAAAAAATTCTACATACAATTTTTTCTAAATTAATTTCAAAATTATAATTTTAATATACGCAACTTTTTTAAATTCTCAAATTTTTAATTCCCTGTTTCATAAACTCAGTAAAAATAATCATTTTCCCAGTAAATATTAAATTTTTTTCAATTTAAAAAAATTACACAATAATTAAGTTAAAAATTCAATTTACCGCATAAATATAATTTTCAATTTCAAAATTGAATTAAACTGAGAATCTTCTTAATGTAATTAAAAAAATACTTTTCTAACTTTTAATTGCAAACTCTTATATATAAGAAAAAAAGAATATTTTAATTTGCCAAAAAAAAGTCTCATTGAAACTTTTTCTTCGCCCGTCGATTTTCTGAGGTTTTAATTTACTTTTTCTTCTTTCTTTTTTCTTTCACTTCTGACTAAAAATTGAAGTAAAGGGATGATCAAAGCTTGTTCGCACGTACAGCGAACTCGCTGAGCCTGTGATCGATCGTGGACTAATCCAGAAGAGAAATTCCGTTTCCGCTTTGCAAACGGTAATTCAATTCGTTCCAAGTCACTCTCGAGAAAGACAAATCGTGCAGTCTATTACTAAAAGGAAAAAAATACTAAAAAAAATGAAAGAAAAAAAATTGATCTACGAAAAAAATGGTCGAAGGCCTCAAAAACTCTCCGTCGACCACCTGTAAAGTAATTATTTGCCTACAAAGAAAAAAAATGCATTGGAAGACAAAATAATGATAAAATACAAAGATTTTCCGTGTGTTAATAAATATTTATTTCTTTAAATTATTAAATTTATTGATTTATTAAAATATAAATAAATAACTAATTAAATAAATAAATTTTTATTTCTAAAAAAAGAGAAAATTACCAAAAAAATATAAATTATTCCCCTTTCATCTTTTTTGTTATTTTCTTTCCTTTTTTCGATTTTCACAAGCTTCTTTCTCATAAATAATTTTTATCTAGCGTTGTTTTTTTTATTAATTTTTTATGTTTGAAAAACGAAAAAATAAAATGGACAGAAATTATTCAGTTTTTTTTATTTTCTTTCCTTCTTTTGATATTTACACAATTTTTTTCTCAAAAATACACGGAGAGAGAATAAATATTAAATTTTGTAATCAAGTATTTTACAAATTGGGAGAAAAATGCTACAAAGCGAAATTTTTATATAAAAAATACTAAATTTTAAAAGAAATTATATGAAATATAGTAAAAATTTATATTAAAATTTAATTAATATTCTTGATATTTAATGTAACTTTACTAAATTTCACATAAGTCTTTTTAAAATTTATTATTTTTATATCAAAATTTCGCTTTGTCGCATTTGTAAAATATTTTTCTAAAATTTAATATTTATTCTCTCTCTGTGTAATTTTCAACTATAATAGTTTTTTAGTGTTTGAAAAAGGAAAGTCTATAGCTATTTATTTAATATTTTTTGGTACTTTTATTTTCTTTGAGATCGAAAAAAAATTTATTTAATTATGTATATTTATTTTTCTTGTTTTCTATAAACAAACAAGAAGCATAAAAGTCTTTTTAAGAAAATAAAGGGAAAATCTTTGTTTTCATCGAAATAAAAAAAAAAGAAAAATTATTTTCTTTCTAAAAATTTGTTGTCCTGATACACAGAAAAAAATGAAAAATTGAGGGGAGGAAAAATATAATTTTCCCTCTCATCCTAAAAAATGTAGACGAAATAACTCACCGTAGTTTCGTCCTCGTGAAGGACTTGATCGTACTCTGACATTGCAACACAGAAAATAATCGCAGTCACGTCCTCGAAGCAATGTATCCATTTCTTACGTTCACTCCTCTGTCCACCGACGTCAAATAATCTGCAGAGAAATAATTCATTTATTAACAAAAAATATTTATAATTAGATGAAAAATTTTTTTTTGTGGATTCTTAATATATTAATTTAAATAATTTGTAGGCCAGTTTTTCCACAATTGTTTGTTTTAACAACAAAAGTTAATAAACAAACAATTGTGGAAAAACTGGCCTACAAATGATTTAAATTAAAAAATATTTATTTTACATTTACTAAAATAAATTTACTAAATAAATATTTTTTTACCATTTTCTATTTTATTTTCTTAAACGAGAACCCTTTCGTATTTATTTATTTTAATTCTATTTATTGACTTTATTTATTTTAATTGAATTTATTGACTTTATTTATTTTAACTTCATTCACTGACTTTACTTATTTTGATTTTATTTATTTATTTACAGGCACTGAGTAAATTTATTAAAATTTTTATTTTAAAAAAATTCTCACCAATTTTCCTTATTGATCATTTTCAAAAAATTCAAAAAAGTTCGATTTCTTTTGGAATTCTCGAAAATTTTACTTATTTCAAAAATTTATAATTACTTGTTTATGAAAATTCAATTATCTTTTAAAAATACAACTAGAATATTTTAAAAGCCAAATTTTCCAGAATTTTAAATAAAATTATTTGAAATATCATTTTTGTTTAATTGTAAAATAAAATCTATTTAAATTAAATTTATAAAAAATTATTAATTATTATTTATTTTTTTGTATATAATTTCAAAAGTATTTTTTATAATTCAAATTATTAATTCAATTGCTTTGGATAAACAGTCGCGACTCTATAAAATTAAATTTTTTTACCAATTTTATTTATTATTTTTGATAAAATTCCCTCGACATTTCCCTGATTTCTCTGACAAATTTCATTTTCCCTAAATTCCCCAATTTCACTGACTTGTGGCAATTGAATATTATTTTATTTCATCAAAATATGAAAATTACAGAAAAAAGAGATAAATAATTTTTTTTTTATTTGTAAAAAAAGTGGGGGCAAGGGAAATTGAGATCTTAACGTTATGATAGTGTATCTTCCTCTTTAGAATACACAAACTCTGTAAAACGACCCACATGTTCTAATAGCAAAAGAAAAGTTACTACAGTCGAGGTCATTACTCGTCGAGGTGGATCTTTTTTTTCACCCAAATGAAACTTAAACACGAGTTATTTTCTTTTTTTTTCTTTTCTTCCCTAACCCCTGACACGTTTTTAAATAATTTTTTTCCACTTTTTTTTAAACTCATCATTATTAGAAGTTGTCAACTTGACTCAATTTTCAACTCTTCAATAAATGTATGCAAATTAAAAAAAAGTTATTAAAAAAAATGAATAAATTATGAATTATGAAGATATTTATATTTTCATAACAATAAATAACAATAAACTATAATAATTATTATATTATTATTTATTGTTTAGTAAATATTTTCCTTTTCATTTATTATTATTAGAATAACAATAAAAGAAAAAGAAAATAAATTATAAATAATTCGTTTTCAAGAAGGGTTTAAATCTGAAAATAGTAAGGATCATTTTCCCCATTTATTTGTTATGGGAAAATGACTCTTATGGTTTTTTAGAGTTGAGCCCTTTTCGAAATTCACAATTCAAATTATTAGTTCATTAGTTTTTATAAATATAATAAATAGTAACAAAAATAAATGAAAATATATTTTTAAAATATTAAAATTTTTTAAATTTGCATAAAAAAAGGATACTTACTTAAAGTTAAGGTTTTTGAAGGAAAAGTGTACTTCGACGATTCCAGTCGTTTTTACTCGAGTTCTAAGTATATCTTGTTCCGTAGGTTGATACTCCCTCGCTCCTAATCGATCCAAATCGTCGAGGAAGCTGTAAAATATAAATTAATAATGAATTCACGGCAGGCGTGTAATTAATTCAAAAATTGCGATAAAAGTGTGAGTCGGAAAAGAAGAACTTATAGCTAATTAATCATTAATTAATAATTTTTTTATTTAAATTGTTAATTTTAATTATTGTCAGCGGCCTTGTCCGTTAATAAATAAATTATTTAATACTATTAACATAATATTTTTAATATTAGTATTATTAAAAATATTTTTGCCTCCCTCGATAAAAAAGTAAAGCACTTTCTCGACTGATAATATAACAATTCTCAAAATATCCATTGGTTAAAAGTCATGAAGAAAACTCATCAATCAAATATATCCCTCAAAGAAGTGGCAAACACAGCTTTTGTAAACAAAAATCGCCTTCTAATTTAATAAACGACATAAAAAGAATCTTACTGGACGAAAAAAAATTATTTACATAAAAAAAATCTACTTAACGTCTATATGTATATAGAAAAAGGATAAAAAAAAGTTGATATTAATCTTTTCAAATATCAAAACCATTCGAAACTTTTTTTTATTCCCCTCCCCTTCTCTTTCTCACCGCTTTTATACTCGTCACTGAAATTAAAAAGTTTTCTTTTTCGTTTTGTTGCCTTGAAACTTTATTTTCGTTCTTATAATATTATATAAAATAGTAATCGACTTTTCTTTTTATAGAAATACATATATATTTTTTTATTGGTAAAAATCCCTTATTTCATTTTTGGTATAACTGAAAATTTAATATCATGGAATGTTTTAATTAAAATTAAATTCTCAGGAGAAGAACACAAGAACGAATTTAGATGAAGAATATAAAAAAATTGCAATTATTTTTCGAATTGTTTAGAAAATTTTTGACGACATGCCTCAAAATGAATTTAGAAATGAAAAATAGTTTCATTTCTCCACTTGAGAACGCCAAGATCGACACTAGGTGGCTAGGAATCTGACTGAACTGCCATCTAACGGTGACCTTGGCGTTCGCAGGTGGCGACTAACATCTCCACATTGAATCTCAAAATATTCCTAATTCTACAATTTTTTTATAATCATAGTCACATAAAAACAAAAAGAAAGAAATAAATTTCGTTATTGAAAATCGTTAAAAAATTATTAAATACCCAGTAAAAAAAAAAGTATTCAGAATAGAGAAAAAGTATTGGTGGAGACGTTCGGTGAATGCGTTTTCGCGACAAAACCGTATTGGTGGGTTACGGTGAATACATTTTGCTTACCGTGAATACTTTTTTTTTTAAACTTTCGATTTAAAGATTCCTAAGCAAAGTTGAGAATATTTATAAAGAGCGTAAGTGACCTGAAGTATAAAAATGACGATTGCGAGAAGGAAATAAGAAATTTTGAGAAAAAACGAAAAATTAAATGTGACAAACAGATTGTCAAATGTTGATCAATTACCATATGCTTTTCTGTGCCTACAACGTATGATGATTAAAAGGAACTTTGACGTTACCGGCGGAACTTACTGTTTCACATACATTTACTTGGATTTCTCAAGTTTCTGTCGGTATCGTCAATGTTCCTTTTCATCATCATACGTTGTAGGTTTGTCACATTTAATTTTTCATTTTTTCTCAAAATTTCTTATTTCCTTCTCGCAATCGTCATTTTTATACTTCAGGTCACTTACGCTCTTTATAAATATTCTCAACTTTGCTTATGAATCTTTAAAACGAGAGTTTAAAAAAAATGTATTCACGGTAAGCAAAATGTATTCACCGTAACCCACCAATACGGTTTTGTCGCGAAAACGCATTCACCGAACGTCTCCACCAATACTTTTTCTCTATTCTGAATACTTTTTTTTTTACTGGGTAGAAATATGATCACAAAAAAATGCACCCGAAGCTTAAAGTGTTGTTGAAATACAGAAGATCACCAAAATTGCTATAGATTTCAAAAAATAAATTTTAAAAAACAAAAGAATATTTTCCAAAGTAATAAAAGAATAGTAAAAATCGAAACTGTATAACCGAAACTACTATATATACTTGAAGAAACTTAAATAGTTACCGAAAAATACAATTACAGAAACTAAAAATTACAATTGCAGAAAATTGCAAAATAAATAAAAAAAACAAAAATATATATAGAATAAAAATGTAATCAAATAGAAAAACAAGTTCCTTTCATCAAAAAACGAGAACATTTCCGCACCTTATGTTATATAAAAAAAGCAAAAAAACTTCTTCTCACCGAAACATATATAAAATCTAAAATTCACATTAATCGTCTTACAAAAACCCATAAACAACCCAGTAAGACGTTTTCTTTTAAAATGTCACTGAATTGAAAAAGCAATTTTCCACTTTTACCTTGAAACTTTATTTTCGTTTCAATAAAAGAAAAAAAGAAAACAGAAAAAAAATCTAATCGACTTTTTTATTCTTCAATACAAATATAGAGATCACTTATACACTGAAAAAAAAAATTAATAGATTCAAGTAAGCGATTAAATATTTAATTGAATCAAATAATATTTATTGGAGTCAATTAAATGGTATTTGCTTCAAATACTGAAATTATTGGTTCAAATACCATTTAATTGACTCCAATAAATATTATTTGATTCAATTACATTTTTTTTCAGTGTAGTGAAGTGAATTATTTAGGACTACGAAAAAATTACCTAACTCTTTTTTGTTTCACTTTTTTTAATGTCAAAAACAATATTTAGTATTAATTTAATATTTAATATTAAATTAAGTCTATTTTTTTAAGGGGACATTCCAGTTCAAAACAGGCAAAATGAAGGCTTTTTTAGTATATATTATTAAAATAACTATGACATTTATTTAAAAAATTTCTTTTACATGTAATAAATAATTTATTTAAGAATTTGCAAAAAAAATTTTGTTTTCATTTTTATTTCAAAATGGCGGCGATATACGCCATTTTCGAAAATGCCCATTTTCGGTGGTAAGATCGATTTCAAACTTTCTAAAACAGATAAAACCAAAAACGAAGTGACATTCTCTTCGTTAGATATTTCTTTAGGTGTGGAATCTCAAAAAAGTGGAATTTTCTTCCCTCCCCCCCTTTTTTTTAGAGTACTTTTTCTCCAAAAAGTGGAGTTGGAAATTTTCCAGTTTTTGAGGTTCCACTTATAGGCATGATGACGCTGAATCCAAACCCGTTTGATTTTTTAAAATCGCTTCAGAAGAACTCGAGATATCACTCTTACCAGTTCAAAAAAAGACATTTTGAGAAAAACGCATTTAAAGTTATTGTTTATAAGTTTCGAAATTTTTTTAAAAAAATCATCGGATTTGCTTGAAAATCGTTACTTGGTGGTTTTTGAGGCGTTAATTACATATATATCTAATTTGTGATCAGCAACACCAAATACATTTTTGTTTGTCTTTTTTAAAAAATGCAAATGAGAAAACATTTAAATCATTCGATTGCTTATCCGCATACAAAAACATCTTTGACATATGGCGAAGAATAAGGATGTATAACGTTTGTTTTACTTCGAATTTTGCAATAATATTTTAGGAGAGTATTCTTGACACTATAAGAAACCCGAAAATAAAAACAAAAAAAAATCGATTTTTTTGACATTTTGAACTGGAATGTCCCCTTAAACGTTAAATATTAATTTTAAAAAATGAAGCATTTAAATTAATATTATCATTTAAGAAAATAAATTTAAGATTTTATTTAAACATTTACAATGTAATATTTATTTTAAAAAAATATTTTACATTAAATTTACTTTTTATATTAAAAAAATATTTTATTTATTTATAGAGTGAACAAGCTTTGAAAATAAAAAACACCTTACAAAAATACTAGTGTTAAGAACATTGAATTTTGAAAAAACAAACTACGAAAAAATGTGAAATAACTCTGCTGGGGATCGAAACCCAGGACCTATCAATTGCCGGTTGATTGTTTTTCCACTGAGCTACAGAGGTCATTAATATTAAGAATATTAAATTAAATTTTTAAATTTTACATTTAATATTAAAAATAATATTTTATTTCGTATCAACGGCCTTAAAATATAAAAAGCGCCCTTTCGTACAAAAGTACTAATAATATTGGAAAACTATTTAATCTTAAATATCAATTTAGGATTAAATATGTTTCCAATATAAATTCAATATTTAAAAAAAAGTATTTAATATGAAATTAATATTTAATACAAAAAGCAATAAAATTTATCAAAAATTGACCCAATTTTTTTCGAAAAGTGAAAATACAAAAAAAACGAACCTAAAAAGAAAGGAAGAAAAAAAATGTAGACAACCTTTGAAGGTTTTGCCCTCGGCCAACTGCATTCGCACCTAGTTTGATAGTTGTGTTTTATATGCTTTTGAATTTACTTTTACTTATGTACTCTTTCGGTGACCTCAAAAAAAAAAAAAAAAAATATTCAAGTCCTCGAAGCCGCCACTACTGCGCCTACACTATATACACATACACCGTGTCGAGTACGCAATATCGATTTTGCTCAACCCTATACGATTCAAGATTAAATAGCTATTCCAGACTATAATATTTTCCAGTCAGAAGAATCGTATCTTTCAAAATATTGACGCTACATACACACACATAAATTTATATACAAACACGATTCAATTTCATTTTCTCTAACTGAAACTTCGCGTATATTCAACTGTCAATAACATGGATATACAGTGATTGATAAAATAGTTTATATATTCAAAAAAATGAAAAAAATCTCAATTTTTCCCATTTAACAAATTTTTTTCATTTATTATAACAAAAGTATTTTAAATAAAAAAAATCGATTTCTATCATATAGTAATTTTTGAAGTATAAATTGCGGTTATTTAAAAAAAATGCTGAAATAATTAGCCGATCTTTTCTAATTGAATTCATCATTAAATTGATTTCGCGCGTATAATTTAGAGGGAAATGGTTTTGTATTGAGGATAATTGCAAACCATTGAAGACTTTTAAGTGGTTCATCATATACGTTTGCGTGCACGTTGGTCGCAACAA